CAAAAAATTAAAAACCTTTGATGCCTCTGAAGAACACAAGCCAAAAATATATACATTTTATATCAGTTTTTATATACATTAATATTAAATATGTTACCAAGAATAATAAATGTTTGAAGAATAAACATGAAGAAGTTGAAGAATGTGAAGTTGAGTAACAAGCACTAAATCAGTTGGAAAAGCAGATGTTGTTAAAGTTATAACAGCTAATTTTGATGAATACAATTTATGGAAGAGTATATAATGTCTAAATTACAAATTGTATATTCTCAAATTCATATTGAAAAAATGTAGTTATAAAATTTATAACATGAATCTGAAAAAATAATTTTAAAAAGTTATAAAAATCAAGTAATCAAATCAAAAAGTTGTAAGATAAAAAAAAAACCTCTATCATTAATATTAACTAGTAAATACGTACTTATGTAATTCTAAACTACTTAAGAAAAGATTTGTGATTTTTGTTAGTTACTATTATTTATAAAGATTTGAGTTACATTAGAAACAAAGTTTGAGTTACTAAACTGTTAGGAATAAAGTTTTTAACATTCTGCGTCGATAAAAATTTATTTCAATACCAATTCTATGAAGCTAAAAGGTGCAAATATTTTTATTAGCAAAGATTATTAAAAGCGCTATTAGAAAAAATCTTTTCTAGTAGAGCTGCAATATACTTTGTTAATTTATGCTTGAGCAAAAAATTGGTTCATATAGTAAAGACAAATTGGTTTATATAATAAAGTCATGTATTATAATTGTCTAATAACTATTAGTTAGTATTACTAATAACTAATTGTCCATAAATTCAAACAAAAAACTCTGAAAGCGTGCCTAATAAATCTGTAATAAATAGCTGTAATTAGTATATGAAGTAAGTATATCATGAAAGTAATCAATATTTATTTCCTGCATTTTAAATCAAAATTAAATATTGTCTTTGCTAAAAAGTAATTTGCTTAATGTATTTAAATTAAAAATTGCTGGTTTTTATTAGCATTTTTATACTGGTTGAAAAAAAAACTAATAAAAAAGAATTAACTAATAAATATAAAACTAATAAAAAAGAATTAACTAATAAATATAAAACTAATAAAAAAGAATTAACTAGTAAAAAAGAATTAACTAATAATATATAGTAATTAATAATTATTAGAAGAAGAATTAATAATTATACATTAATTAATAATTATTAGAATTAATAATAATAATAATTAATTCTTTTTTATTAGTTTTTTTTTTAAACAGTATAAAAATGCAAATAAAAGTCAGCAATTTTATTGCTCTAACATTTTTAAGCCTTATTTTAAACATAAAATTTTGATAAACAAAGATAAAAACCAGGCTGTTTTGTTAGAATGAAGAAAAAAATCGAATTAACGTCTTTTCCTTTTTCAACTTTTCGCTTTAACGACCTTTTAAAAATTCTCCATGCAGAGATTTAAAGTAATTTAAATTCAAAAAAGTTTTATGTTGAAAGAAAATCTCTGCGCGAAAGAGCAAATCTTCAATTCAGAATAATAAATTTTGTGTGACGTTCTTGATGATAAAAACATTACTTTTTAGAATTGCTAAAAAAAAGTGCTAACCTAGAAAAAAAGTAATTAAACAACCAAAAAAAAACAAATCGCGAAAAGATTTTTTTTAAGAAAAAACTAATCGCAAAAGTGTGAAAAGCAATCAGGATCGCGATACAATTAAAACAAGCCCTGTAAGACTTTTTTATAAGTTCTAAACTATTTAAAACTATTACTTAATAACTTTTTTTTAACAACGTTTTTTAACTGAATTCTATTATACTGTTTTTGCAAAACTAATTAAAAAAACTTGATTAAAACTCAACTATTTAATCACAACGTTTTTTTACTTGAAAATCGAAGTAGATATTCTAAAGTTGTTGTGACGTACTAACGTGATTTTTAACAACTAACGATCGAGTTTCAATGGTAAAAAAATAAAATCAAAATGGAGTTGTTTTTCAGTGATTTCGGCAATTGCTTTTTGTTAGCATGCATTTATTATTACAATTTAGTGAAAAAGAAAAAAAACTATATTTAGTCTTTATTTAGTTTCTTTCTGTTGTTTTTAACAACTTAGCATGATACACTTTTATATCATTCAACTTTTAGCTTCTAGCAAAGTCCTGTATCAATCTGATATTTTTTAAATTACTTAAGCGTCTCACTGGCATCTCCCTTATTCCACTCCTCGACCTCTCAAACAGGAACCTAAGCTACCTTTAACTGGATCCAGCTCTGGGAACCTACCGACTTACCGAGTAAACTCTGTTGAACTTGTAATAACCAGTAACTTTGCTTTCCAATATGAAACTGCTCAGGGACATCACACTTGGCCGATATCTTGAACATCCTCTTCTTTACCTTCTCTTCAACATCATCATCAGCTAGAACTAGTATAACTAACTGTTCTGTTAAGTACCAAGCATGCTGCCACATGCTGACAAGAAGGGCCTTTCTATGTAGCATGCTGCCACATGCTGACAAGAAGGGCCTTTCTATGTTTTAGATAGTAGTTCCATATTTCAAACAATGACTTAAGGCTATAATAATGGCAGCCAAGTCATTTGAAGTTGACTTGTTTGCCATATAGGCTTTTAAGAGCCAGGGTTATTACCATTTCTTCCTCATTTATTACCTACTCTACCTTTTCAGTCATCCTCAGGGTCAGCATGTATGGAGCATATGCTCTAAACCTTAAAAAATAAATTATCATTATCAAATATATAAAATAATATTAAAAGTATACTATCCACTAAAAAAAAAATTATTAATAATATACTTTAACTATTTGTGATAATCTTTAGGTTGATAAAAATAAAACCCTATATATCTTAGCTATAAAACCCTATATATCTCCTCTTAACTAGAAGACAACTAGTTTACATTTAGCTTCTTGTAGTCCCACCTGTTAAATGTCTTTAAGGTCAATGCCTTCTTGCAAAACTCTAAAGCCTCTCATGCAATGTTGTACAGGGATGATCCTACCTGTAGCTTGTTCCAATAAACTTGATGATCTCCTCCATCTTGTCCACCTCTTCCTTGTTGCTTGGCCAGGCATTCTGCAGTCTTACATATCTCTTCAGTCTTACAGCTCTCCTGGGCCCTTTAGTTTTTTAACTAAAATAAGAGCTTCCATAAAATAAAAGAAGTGTAACTCCAATATGTATTGCCTTAAGAGAAACCATAGTAAAGGGATGTTAAGATTATTTTTAAGATTGGCAATGGCACCAAAAAATACTCTACTACCTGAGAACGAAGTTGTTATGATTGGATCTTCTACTTAAACTTCCCTACAGATATGTTGAAGATTTTGTTTCTCTCTTGTATGAAATCTTCCTGCATAATGGTAAATATACTAATGGAATCCCAATTTAAATTTCTTAGATATGGAGCTTCAGAATTTAAACCATAATAATTAAATTATTTCTTAAGTAAAATAATATACTATGTAATTGTTCCTTCTTTTTAATTTATGTTTGTATTTAACTAATTTTTTTTTTCTTGAGTTGCTTATTTTTTATTTACATAATTAAAAGTTGAATTTCCTTTACCTGACAGCAACTCCAGAAATGATGAGTTCTCCAAAATCAGCCTTGTTCCAAATATCCATTACAAGAGCAGTGACACATCTATAGTTGGGATCTTTACATAATCCACCCTAGCAGATCTTTTGATGGATAACTTTGAGAAAAATTACAACAAGCTTTGTAGATTTAAATTTCAAACCTTAAAGATTTGACAAACTCTATATATCTAAGCATATTTTCTTAAGTTTGTCAAATATGCTTAGTTATATACAGTAAACATTGTTTTTATTGGTTGCTAAATTAAAGTTTTAAAATTGATAAGTTTCCTTACAATACATCTCTTATCAAAGTTGCTTTTTCATTTGTCCAACTTTTTGTTTAGTCTTTCTTATTAATGGAATGTCCCTATGAATGAATTTTCTGGAAACAAATATATTCAATTACATTTATATTTCCATATGTTTTAATTGATCAATAATAACTTTGCAATTAATGTTGAATTGCAAATATAAGATTCATATATGCTTTTAAACAGCTTGGTGTTTTTAATTTTCTTATTTTATTTTCTGTCTTTTGATCACATTTTTAAATTTTAATTGTGTTGTAAATATTAAATAAATACTTAAAAAAAATACTAAAATTAAATTTTGTAAATTGCGTAAAACTTTTTATTCCTTTTTTTTTTCTTCATAAATTACTTTAAATTTAAAAATTAAAATATGTAAACATAATTTTTCTTTAAAAATTTTTATTTACTTTTAAAGCATTGTAATTTAGTTTGATTTTAATTAAAAATAAACTATAATCAGGGTATAAAAAAGGAAAAATAGAAAATTTATTCTTCAAAAAAAATCTAATATTTTTATATAAAAAAATGGATATTTATTTGATAATAAAGTTTAGTATTGTTCCATTTAAAAAATTTGCTTGTAAAAAATTGTAAAATTAAATTGGTAAAATTGAAAAAAATATTAATCTATAACGTTTTTTTTTTAATTATGCTACAGTTAATTATGCTACAGTTAATTCTCAATTTTGTAGTACTAATAAAAATCTGGGATTTTAATGTACTTAAAAAAATTCTATTTTAATTGTATTTAATAAAACAATAATATAATATTTAATAATATCTCACTCTGAATCACTAACTGTGTTTTTAAAATTAAAATGTTCATTGTTTTTTGATATTGTTTTGTTTGGGTTTAAAAAATTTTTATATTATTAGTTAAAAACACTATCTAAATCTGTCAAAACCAAAAAAAATCACTAAAAGGGCATACATTTTTTAGTAAAAAAGTGCACCAACAAAGAAATATATATTTTATTATAAAATGTGGGTAAAGCTATTAAAATTAATTATTATAAAATGTGAGTAAAGCTATTTGTTGAAATTATTATTATTATTTATTAAAATTACTTGTATTGTAACTGTTCTTTTATTTTTGTATTTATTAAGTACCATCAAGTGGGGAACCTTTTAAAACATTGTCATTTATCTATGATGAACAAGGAAATAAAGAGATGGCTTTGCAGGTTTTTAGTTTATGATATTTTTTATTATTATAATTTATTATATTTTCTATATATTTTTTTTTAAATATTTTTATACTTTGTGTTGTTTTTTTTCCCCGTTTAATTTTAACTTATTTTAAGATGTGTCAGTTTTCTCAACAACATAAATCTATTACCTATCTCAATACTTTAGTTAAAATTCAAAGGCAATTTTAACAATTTTAACAGTAGAAGGGTTTTAATATAAACAAGTTTTAAATTTAGCAATTAAAGATATGTTGAAGTTTTTCATAATTAAAAAAAAAAATTATTTAAAAAGAAAAAATTTACAGAATGATTTTATGTTATTTTATTAAGTATCATTTTTTTACTTTTATGATTTATTTTTCTTGCAATACTAATTTTATGGGCTAGGGCTATTTCAGTTTAGAATTTTTTTTAGTTTGTTATATTTTAGTATGTAGATGTTATATTTTAATATGTAGACGTTATTATATTTCTTATTGTTCTTAGTATGCATTGGTTTCTGCTTTTCTTGATTGTAAAGATGCTCAAGAATGGAGGGATCTTGCTCAAAGATGTATTAATGAAGGAAGTGAAACACAAGCTCTTGCATGTTATGATAGAGGTCTTAATTTTTTTTGTAAAACTGGCTTGTACATAGTTCATATGATTATATATGAGTATGATAGTTTACTAATATGTTTTTTTCTAAGTAATTGTGTTATCTAAGTGTTTTTCTTGTGTTTTAAGCTGAAAAAATGAAAAAAAAAATTAGTAATATTCAAAAAAACATCTGTTTTTATAAAAATTCAATTTTAAATATTATGTTTGAAGAAACAATATTTAAGCACAACTTTATGATTTATTATATTTATTGTAATTTTATTTAAATGCAACTTCATCCACCTTTTACTTTAGGTTGCTTTTTAGGATAATAAGATTTTTGGAATAATTAAAAATAAAACTGTTTTAGAAAACTCAAAAGTCATCTCAGTACCTTTTAAATTACATTTTTGGATATATCTTGAAGAAAATGGTATTTTTAGACGGTGTCACTTGTAACTTTAATTTAGAGGGTTATGGGAGCTCATCAATGTAGTACAGTGTCTAAAATAAGATGAATTGTGTCTTTATCTTTAACCTTTAAGTCCTGCAGATCTTTTATAATAAATTTTTTTTCTAAAAATTATTTCAAAATATCTTAATGATTTTAAGGACCAAAAAATAATTTATTTGTTGCTTTTGATATTTTAGCTCACATTTAAATTTCGTTTATTGCAGTTAATTTTCCCTGCAAATCTTTTTTTATAAGCGTGTTGTTTTTTTTTCATTTAGCTTGCAAAGTTCTTTCTACAGATGCCTGTTTACAATGGGATAGAGCAACTATGTATTTTGAGAAACAAGATTACCGAAAGACACTTGATATCTTATTTACTATAATGAAGGTACACTTTTATTTTATTTTTACTTAGTTTAATTCATTCATACATAACTATTGTATTTTTAGAATTTTTTTTTTTGTTGCTATTAGAATTGCATTAAAAATATTTATGTATATATATCATTTTAGATAATAAAGCCTACACATTTAGAAGATTTTATGGTTATCGCTAAAGAAATTTCAAAAGTAAGTTGTTATCTCTCAAAGAAATTTTAAAAGTAAGTTGTTATCTCTCAAAGAAATTTCAAAAGTAAGTTGTTATCTCATAAATTACTTTCTTTATTCAAAAATTTAAATATTTGAAGTCTGGATAACAAAAGGATAACAATGAAAACTAGATTTTTTTATTTTAGATTATAAAATTTCAACAATTATTATTTAAATAAATAATTTTTTAAGATTTCTAATAAAAAAGTAGAGTAATATTAAAATGGTATTGAATAATGTTTTAATAGATAAAATAGAAAATATGGAAATATTATGGAATGCATAGTAAATAAAGGCAAATAGTGTTTCTTGTTCAACATTATTTAAAGACTTTTAAAGTGTTTTAATTTATATCATATTTTCCTATTCAAATATGAAATAAAAAGGAATTTTTTAAAATTTAAACCAGATAAATTTACTGGTGTTAACCTGATTAGCAGATCAGGACCGAGTATTTTTATTGTGATACTTCCACTAGAAACCTCCATTATTTGCAAACTCCTGCCATTTATACCCACATCAAGTTTAGTGTTTGATTTTAAAATTTTTCTCATTCTAAGTAAGTTGCCTTTACTATAGCTGGAGTCTCTTCTGTTCTAATATAAGATCAGTTTAATGTTATAGTTGAGACATGTCATAACCAAAATTTTTGTCACGTTGTCATTACCAAAACTTTTGTCATATTGTCATAACCAAAACATTTGTCACATTGTCATAACCAAAACTTTTGTCATATTGTCAGAACCAAAACTTTTGTCATATTGTCAGAACCAAAACTTTTGTCATATTGTCAGAACCAAAACTTTTGTCATACTGTCATAACCAAAACTTTTTTCATACTGTCATAACCAAAACTTTTGTCATACTGTCATAACCAAAACTTTTGTCATACTGTCATAACCAAAACTTTTGTCATACTGTCATAACCAAAACTTTTGTCATACTGTCATAACCAAAACTTTTGTCATACTGTCATAACCAAAACTTTTGTCATACTGTCATAACCAAAACTTTTGTCATACTGTCATAACCAAAACTTTTGTCATACTGTCAGAACCAAAACTTATGTAATACTGTCATAACCAAAACTTTTGTCATATTGTCATAACCAAAACTTTTGTCATACTGTCATAACCAAAACTTTTGTCATACTGTCATAACCAAAACTTTTGTCATACTGTCAGAACCAAAACTTTTGTCATACTGTCAGAACCAAAACTTTTGTCATACTGTCAGAACCAAAACTTTTGTCTGTCAGAAGTCTTTTGCTGTCCAATCTTAAGTATGGTCTACCAAACAAGTAAAAACTTTTTTTACTTTAAAATTCTCATTAAAGTATCATTTATATCTCAATAAAAAGGTTTTATTAGTTTGTATTCTAATTGAAACTAAAAATCAATTTTTTATAGTATACAGTGATTTATAATGTACAGTATCTTATAAACCACTATATTATAACTAGAAAGCACTGTAAATAAAACTTATATAGATTTATAATATGCGGTAGTGGTGTAGCGGTAGACCGCTTGCCTCATAAGCAAGAAGTTCTGTGTTCGATCCCCACCACATCCCTGGTAATACTGTGCTCAACTTGTCTCTCTGCGCAGCAGCCTTGTTCATCAAGGTTTGTGTTTTGGAGAGATTTGAGAGTTGAGAGGGTTGTAACTACAATTATAGTAGCCTCCTCGGCTGTAGTGGCCTTCTCAGTCTTGGGGAGGTGAATTAGCATTTAAAAAAAAAAAGATAACCAACTAGATAGATAACTTATCTAGTTGGACAACTAAATCTAACTGAAGACTAACTGGGAGATTTTTTTACACAGTTGTATCATAAATTTGGCTTGACAGATCGATCAAGAGAAATGCTTGAAGTAGCATGCAAGATGTGTATAAATGTCAAAGATTATGAAAGTATTTTTTTTTTTTTTTTTCCTTAAATTTTTAAGTTTTTTTCATAATATTAAAATTAAAAAAAATAAAAACTTTAGGTATTCATTTACTTTGCGAAATGTATATGGCAATCAAAGAATATGATAAACTTTTAAAGGTATAGTGGGATTAAAATTGTTTATATTTTTATGTATAATTATGATATTAGTTTAGGAATTTTTATGAATTAGATACACTTAGTGGTAAAGTATTTTAATTTTTAGTGTTTAATATACCATATTTAGAAATTTATCTATTATAATGTTTGCATGATTTTAATATAATTCACTCTGAACAGGACTGGAAAAAAAACTAGATGAATAAAAAAATATATATGTATACAGTATCGAACAAAACAAGTGCAACCAAATAATGCTAATATAGTTTCTTTATATAAAAGTTCTTCAAGTTTTATTCATCACAAAGTTCATTATTTGTACACGAAAATTAATAAATTAATCAAAAGTATTAAAAAAAATGTTGATTTCCTTCTTGACAAAACAAGCGCAACTCCACAAAATGTTGACCAAGCTGTGTTTCGCTGTCGATATTTTGTGGCGAATCCTTTGTTGTCGGTCACAGCCTTGCATCTTCGAGGCATAGATTCGATCAGGTGATCAATGAAACTTTGTGGAATCGCTGCCCAGGCCTTTTGGATTTGTTCAAACAGTTGATCCTTATTATGAACACCTTTACGATTAATTCTGCGTTTGACAATCTCCCACAGGTTCTCGATAGGATTGAGATCTGGAGAGTGAGGCAGCCAATCCATCACCAATAGGTGGTTGTCTTGAAACCACTGCTTGACTACTTTTGCAGTGTGTTTCGGATCATTGTCTTGCTGAAAAACCCATTTTATTGGCATATTCCATTCAGCATGAGGTAACAACATCTTTCAGGATATTTTTATACATGAAACGGTCCATTATTCCATTGTTTCGATGTATTGGACCTAGACCGTTAACAGAAAAACACCCCCAGACCATTACATTGTCTCCAGCGTGCTTCACAGTCTTATGGCAGTAACGTAAATCGAGGCATTTTCTGGCCGTTCGAAAGACACGGCAAATACCATTGCTCCCAATGATGTTGAACTTCAATTCATCACTGAACAGGACAGTTTGCCATTTCTGCACATTCCCGTCAATATGAGATGCAGCAAACAGGAGTCTTTTCTTCTGATTCTTTAGTGAAATCAGCGGTTTCTTTGCAGGGTGTCGAGAAAACAATCCAGCTTCAACAGCACGTTGTCAGACTGTTTATTCTGATACAGGCAGCTCTAATTGCTTTTGTATCTTGACTGATGATATCCAGGGATTCTTCTTGATGGATCTGACAATCATAGAATCCTCTCTAGAAGTGGTGGAATGCGGTCTTCCACCTTTGTTATCTGGTGCCAACTTCCCTGTAGAACGATATTTGGAACATAGTCATGATATGGTCCATTTTTTCACGCGATATTTATCACAAATACTTTTTTGTGACATTCCACTTACGTAATCGCCAATAATTTTTTTTTTTTTAGTTCCAATCCAAGACTGTCGGGAGCCATTTTTGCACTTGAAGTCAAAAAAATAATAAACATAAATAATCACACTTCTCAAGGCTTACCGTGTTACATTTACCTTGTGATAATACAATAGTGCTCTGTGGAACACAACGTCTGGATGCTTCCTTTAATTATTAAAAAACTTCTGTGACGTTGACACCAGACTTAAGAAAATGAAACAAACCAAAAAAAGTGCACTTGTTTTGTCCGCTGCAAAATGGCACTTGTCAACGAAATTCTGCCTGTGTGCTGTCTCATGTCAGCTGATTGCTCAAGTAATGGCATGCTATGACTCCAGATTTCTGAACTGTTTGCTGTGGTAGTATAGTTCGTTTTGTTTTTAAGACATGTAAAATTAGGAACACTTTTTAGCATTGTTCGATGTTGGTTGCAAATGTTTTGTCCAATACTATGTGTATATATATATATATATATATATATATATATATATACACAGTATGCAAAATAAATAATCATACACTTGAAAAAAAAAATCATAATTTTAAAGATTGTATCAATAAAAATGAGTTGTCTGTTAATATATTTAAAAGTTTTTTTTAGATATCTTATCAAGTATTTTTTTGAGAGTTAATTTGTTTATTGGTGAACTAATTGCTTTTCAAACCTATTGAATTTTACTCAATTGATCTAATGATGCATAAAATTGACTGCATCGTACAGTTCAAAAATAATGTCGAATTGATCAAACTCCATGGAAATTAGTATTGATTGGGGCCTCTTTTAGCCTGATGGCCTCATCTAGATGGTTTGACATTGATTTGGCCAAATTTTGTGTCTTTTCTGGTGTTATATTATCCCATGCCCTCATTATAGCTTCAAGTTGTCTTTGCGTTTTAATGCTTGTTTGCCAATTTTTCTGTCCAAAAAATATCACCACTTTTCTATTGGATTCAAGTCCGGACTTTGCGATGGCCATTTCAAAACATTGATATTATTTGTATCAAAGCATAACTTCATTTTTTTCAATTGTTAAGAAGCATTATCTAATTGGAACCGTTGCTAGTGTGGCTTTTAGAGAACAAAAACGCAAAACCACTAGTTGATCAAAATATCATTATTGTCATCATTAATGTGAAGAAAAATAGGTTTATTTTTGCAGCTAAATTAGCTTTGAAAATTCAAAAAGATTGTAACATCACAGTGATTCCTCAAACAATCAGAAATTGTATAAGAAAACAAGGATATAGAGATATAAAGTTCGAAATAAGCCTTTTATAACTTCTAAACAAATGAAATGTTGACTGAAATTTGCATCAAGGTACTCAAAAATGCTGATATCATATTGGAATAAAATTTTGTAGTAAAATGAGTCAATATACAATCTCGTCTCATTAGATTGAGTCCAAAAAGTGTGGCAAAAAAAAGGAGAAGCTTATAAATTGAGTTGTTTGCAAGGTAGTGTAATGCATGGAAGAGGAAATGTGATGTTTTGGGGTAGTATGAATTGAAAAGGAGTTGGGAAATTTAGATTTATTAATGACTAAATGGAGGCTTCAATGTATTGTGAAATTCTCCATGCCAACTTGCCAACATGTTCTTAGAAATTGAGAATGGGAAGTGATTTCATACTCAAGTAGGATATCAATCCTAAACATACCGCTAAGAAAACGAAGGTATACTTTGACATAGATAACATCAATATTTTGGAATGGCCATCTCAAAGTCTGGAATTGAATCAAATAGAAAATTTATGATATAATTTGGATAGAAAAATTGGCAACTGAGCATATTGATGCAAAGACAATTTTAAAGAAGCTATAATGAGTGCATGGGATAATATAACAATTGAAGAGACCCAAAATTTGGTAAACTCAATGCCAATTTGTCTAGTTGAGGCCATCAAGACTAAAGGAGGCCCTACTCAATACTAATTTCCATAGAGTTTGATCAATTTGACATGATTTTTGAACTGTACGGTTATTTTTTTTGCAGTCAATTTTATGCATCATCAGATCAATTGAATCAAATTCAATAAGTTTGAAAAGCAATTAGATCACCAATACACAAATAAATTCTTAAATCAACACTTGATAAGATATCTAAAAAAATTTTTTGAATATTTTATCGGACAACTCATTTTTATGATTATTTTTTAACATATTTGTATTAACATATTTTTATAAATAAAAATATGTAGTTTTTTTTATAAAAAATATAAATGGAAAAAATATGTAGTTTTATTTATAATATATATATATATATATATATATATATATATATATATATATATATATATATATATATATATATATATATATATATATATATATATATATATTAGCCCTCAAAATTAAGGTCGGCATTTGGCAATGCTGATCTAAAAGTGTTTGAGTTTGGCAAAAAACTACCAACCTCATTTCTATTTTTATGGTAAGACCTTTGTATCAATTTTTTTGCCAACCTAATGCCGACCATAATTCATAATTTCAAAGGTTGAAATAAATAAATATATGTATATATATATATATATATGTATATATATATATATATATATATATATATATATATATATATATATATATATATATATATATATATATATATATATATATATATATATATATTGTATATCAGTGTAGTTTTTCAAAAGTATGTAAATATATATATATGTGTGTGTGTGTGTGTGTGTGTGTGTGTATGAGTGTGTATGTGTGTTTCAAAATAATAATTATAAATATATAATTATTTTTTGACGTTTTTGAAAAAATTTATTAACTTTTTATTTACGTTTTTAGGTTTTAAAAATGTTGTATTATGTTTTAAAGATATCTTGCATAAATGTTCTGTTTAAGTTTACTTTCTTTACTACTTTTAACACATTTACCATAAATTGTTATGAATTATTATGTTATGTCTTATATGTTTGTTTTATTTATTAGCTTATTGTCAAGACTTGTGATGTAAAACTTCCTGAGGATGTTTTTAAAAAAAAAGACTGTGGCGTAAATTTTTCAGAAATAGCTGCTCAGGTTTCATCTAGTCAGTTTACTGATTTATCCTCACATATAGTTGCAAAACTCACTGAATCATCTTCACAGATCATAGATCAGCCTAGTAATACTATTGATATATGCTCAAAATCAGTAGAAAGTTTTTATGTTCCAATAGAACTACCACTTGACATCCGAGTTAAACTTGCACAAGGTCTTGTTTATTTAAATGAGCTTAATTATGTTGAGGTTTGTAAACTTTATAATCATTTTATACTAATATAATAGGTTGTGATTAGTTTAATATTAGATTGTTCAAATATAAGCCTGTTATTATTATCGTTATTACTATTACTGTTATTATTGTTGTTGTTGCTAGTATTACCAACACCTAAAATAATAGACAATCCTTAAGGGGATAAAGCATGAAAAAAGGATTTAATAAAAATAAGAAAAAGGCATATTTCTTTCAACAAACTTTTTAAATTTTTATGATAATTTTTAGTGTTTTTGATTGTTCATTTGTATTATTATATTGAGAACACAATTAGCATTTTGTTGAATGTCTATTATCATGCTTAAAATAGCTTTGTTGAAGCCAAAATTATTTCAGCTCATCCATCAAAATAAAGATAAAAATATGAAAAAAGTATGTATTATATATTTTATGTAACATTAAAATTTTTACACTATTATTTAAAAAAAAAATGATCTTTTTAATAAATAATCAGTTTAAATGAATCATTTTAATATTTTTTGTGGTAAAGAAAAAACATTAATTAGTGGCATTACTAAATTACATAATAAGACTTTAAACTTCTGAATTTCATTTATTTTAATATCTTTTTGTTTTAGAGAAAACATAATATATTTTTGTTTTAGATAAATGCATTCTAAAGATTGAAAACACCATTAAGACTGATTTAAAACATAAAAGTAAACTTAATATCATTGCATGCTAAAACCTTATTCTTTTCTCAAGTTAAACTTCCTTGCTGTTTACAAAAAATAAAAAATAAAACAATCACTTATTTTTGCATGCTAAATCTTTAATCTTTTTTCCAGTTAAGCCTCCTTGCTGTTTACAAAAAAAAAAAAAAAAAAAAAAAAAAAAAAAAAAACTAAAAATAATAATCACTTAGACTTCAAGACTAGTTTTTTAAATTTTAAATAACTTCTAAAAGTTTTAGGTTAAAGATAAAGGTTAGGTGATAATAAGTAACTAAAATCATTTTATGATGAACTTTTCCAACATTTAATTAGTTGTTTTTTTTTACATAATATAGTAATGAATTATATAAAAACTAAAATAACTTAACTAAAAATAAAGTTAAAACAGTTAAACATTTAAAATAAATTTGATGTTATCAAACCTCTGTTTTTAGTTGAGTGATATGCTCCTTGAACTAGAGTTATTTTAAAATTTAATTTCAAGTTTTTTACTTTTAGTTATCAAATTGTGTTTTGTAAAAATAAAATTTTAATTATGTTGAGTTCAAGAATAAATTATTTTTTGATTAAAAAAGTTCAGTTAACAAAAGAATTAACCCGTAGACTTTTTTGACTGTTCAAAAAAAGTCTGTGTCAGCAAGTTAAATTATATGTCCACCTTTGATTTTTTATTTTTCATGCTGCATAGCAGCATGAAAAATAAAATGTAAATAAAGAAAAGAAAGAAAAAAAATGTAAATAAAGAAGTTAAGTGGTTACTCTGCAATTTTAATTTTGACATAGGTCTGAAAAGAAATTTTAATGAAAAAATTAAGTGGCTTTCAATTATATTTGCACTCTCTCCCTAAAACGTGAATTTTGTTAAACAAGTACAATACTTCTATAGATGCAGAGTGGGTTTAAACCTTGCCCCTATTGATCATATGCAAAGTATTCTGCCAACAATCTACTACTGCATTGAACTTGACATAGACCTTCTTAACTTAATAAATCATAATATTCTCAGAAAAAATAAAGTTTTTTTTTCAGAGCATAACAGAACCACTGTTTTCTGAAGATCTTAATGATGTTGGTGATTTGATGCTTGATCTCGCTGAATCATATTATGAGACAGGTTTGTTAGAAAGATTTTACTTTAAACAAAGTTAAAAGTTTAACATCAAAATTTGAAGTGTATATTGTATATAATGTAGTGTGTATATATATATATATATATATATATATATATATATATATATATATATATATATATATATATATATATATATAGTATATATATATATATATATGACATATATATACTATATATATATATATATATATATATATATATATATATATATATTTATATATATATATATATATATATATATATATATAAATGACATATATATACTATATATATATATATATATATATATATATATATATATATATATATATATATATATATATATATATATATATATATATATATATATATATATATATATATATAAATGACATATATATACTATATATATACTATATATACATAGAATATTTGTCCTACAAAGTTTAACATTCACACTTGTGTGACTTAAATGGGTTTAAGTAATGCCATTTTTTATTCAAAGATCATATTATGGAAAAATTACAATGCAATTTTTACAAAAAAAATACTTTTCCTAGCATTACTTGTTTTGGGAGTTTCAAACAGAAAAAAAGAGAGTTTAAGAGATCACATTTTATGTCATCAACATTTTATGTGTACCTGTTGAATAAATTCTCTAACACTGATTGTGGACTTTTATGATCTAAATTATTTTCAGTTTAATAATATTTAATTTCTACCTTATTACCAAAAAAATACATTTATGTAAAATTATAAAAATAAATTCATAAAGTTCTAAAAAGTGCGAAAATTTTAAAATCCACTATAAAAACTCAAATTTTTATTAATTTTAGGAAATTACCAGTTGGCATTGAAATATTTACTAGAGCTGGTTGAATGTGTCAAATTTAACCAAGTATATATTTATAAATTATTTAAATGTTAGACTGCTTAAATTTTAATATTTTAATTTTTTTATATTTGATATAATTATTTTTATATAATTTTATATATTTTATATGATTTTACATATTTTATATAATTTTATATATTTTATATAATTATATTTAAAATATTGAACTTTAATATTTAAATTTTTGTTTACAGTAAGTTTTAATAAATGTAAAACAGTATGTACTTTTTTTTTTTTTTTTTTTATTTGAAAGTTTATGGTAATTTAATTAATTATTTAGCAGGGCTATTATGACCAAGAAAGCATAATTCATAAAAGTTTAAAATGTACAAGTCTTCTTGCTGAGCATCTAAGAATAAACCTGAATTTTTTTTTCCTAGTTTAATTAGTTAACTCAAACTATGAGTTTGCAAAAATGAATTATAAATAAGTTGTTAAATATGATGATTCAATTTTAGAGGTACTATTCATTATTTTTATTATTTGTGACCTTGCTTATAATAGGCAGCTGTATGGTTAAAGATTGCTGAGAGTTTTGATTATTTGAATGAAAAGGAAAAAAGCATTAATGCTTACTATATGGTCTTATCACTTGTACCTCAGCATGTATCTGTTCGGATGACACTTGCTAGTCTGCTTAGAAGTGTTGGCAGAGCTGATGAAGCCGTCACTGTTATTTCAGGTTATAGTTTAAGCATTAGTGGCATTTCGAAAATTAATTTAAATATTTTAGTACTTTGTTGATTTTAATCCACACAATAAAGTATATATATATATATATATATATATATATATATATATATATATATATATATATATATATATATATATATATATATATATATATATATATATATATACATATATGTATGTACATATATGTATATACATTTATGTATACACATATATGTATATACATATATGTATATATATATATATATATATATATATATATATGTTTATGTTTATATATATATATATAATATATATATATATATTTTAATCCACACAATAAAGTATATATATATATATATATATATATATATATATATATATATATATATATATATATATATATATATATATATATATATATATATATATATGTTTATATATATATATATATATATATATATATATATATATATATATATATATATATATATATATTACAATTGTTCACCTCCCCAAGGCCCGAGGGGCCACTACAGTCAAGGAGGCTACTCATTTTTTTTTTTTTAATTTTTTTTTAATTTTTTTTTATTTTTTTTTGTAAATTGTGGTACAACCCTTATTTAACTCTTTATATATATATATATATATATATATATATATATATATATATATATATATATATATATATATATATATATACCCATATAGTGTAGCTTTAAGAGCGTTTTAATGTAAAAAAAGTCTCTTACGACTACAATTTTAATTACCTCGTCTCTTAAGCTGTTTTTGATTGTCATCGAAATGTCAAAGCAATTAATTTATGCGGAAGTACATTAAATTTAATTGTTTTTTAAAATTTTTTTAAAAAACTGCAATTATAACGACTAGAAAGTTTTTTTTAATTAGTGGTGTTTTTGTTATTGATTTAATAAAAAACATTTTTAAAACATGCGTAAATGTTGCTACATCGACTATCTTATAGCCTTACTCGCAACAGAGTGCTGCTACATCGACTGACAAATAGCCTGACTCGCAACGGAGTGCTGCTACATCGACTGACAAATAGCCTGACTTGCAACGGAGTGCTGCTACATCGACTGACAAATAGCCTGACTCGCAAGGGAATGCTGCTACATCGACTGACAAATAGCCTGACTCGCAAGGGAGTGCTGCTACAACGACTGACAAATAGCCTGACTCGCAAGAGAGTGCTGTTACATTGACTGAGGGTTTGGTTTGGCCAGGCAGTCTATCAATTAAAAAAAAAAATTTAATTTTTAAAACTTTTTCTAGTCTGGTTTATTAACGCGCTCTTTAAAACTACAGTTTATGGGAAACTTTTTTTGATGCCATGCAAGAGACATGCAAGAGTATATATATTATATATATATATATATATATATATATATATATATATATATATATATATATATATATATATATATATATATATATATATATATATATATATATATATATATATATATATATATATATATATATATATATATAAAGCTGCAATTATCCTCTATTAAGTTGGGAGTTACTAGAAAACAAATATATAATACATAAAGATGGGAAAAAGTTTCAAAGGATTAAAATGTGTGCAAAAAAACTAGAGAAATAAAAGTTTTAAAAGAGCAACGATGAAGAGAAACAAACTCTAACAGATACCAACATAGCGATTGATTGTATATATGGTTTCTGTGAGAAGTCTGTAGTGAACAATAATCCAATTAGATGTAAAAAAAAGGACTCAGTGAGAGAGTTATCTTTCATCAATATAGGAATGTTGACAGTATTGTGAGTTTTGTTGAAGTTAAAATTCACTAGCCACTGCAGGCCCCAATCTGTTACAAAAATGAGATCAGATTCAAGATAAGGTAAATCTAAGCAATCAAAAAGAGAAAGCTTTTTGTCAAAATGAGTATAAAGTTAAGTCATCAGCCATTTTAGATGTAAAGTTTTCAGGAAGATCATTAATGTAGATAAGAAACAAAACAGGACCAAAGATAGAACCTTGAGGTACTGGAAGTGAAGAAGACTGTTGGTTTGAGGATGAATGTTACCTTTGTTAATGATGTTGTTGAAGATTTTCCAAAAGTCTCAAGAGCCAAACTTTTGAGATAAGATTTAGTTAATTATGAATAATGGACTTTAGCATCATACAGCACCTTTTTACATTGATTTCTTGCAATAGTAATAAGGTATTTGTTCTCAAGAGAGTTGTTATTTTAAAAAAGATGAAGAAAAAAAAATGATTACAATTAGATATAGCACCAGCACAAGAAGGTGAAAACTATGGAGTAGAATGAGGTTTGACTTGACCAATGAGAAGGAATAAAAGCTTTCATACCTTTTTAAATCCAGGTTACATAGGAGGCATATTTATCAGCAGAGAGAGAAAAGACATCAGACCAAGAACCATCACAAAGAAAATCACGAGAAGAGTTTAAGGTAGTCTTAAGTAGTGCGATTATAGGGTGCGTCCGAAGAAGAAGTATGAGATGAAAGGTTTATAGAGATCATTGCATAATCAAAACCACCTAAGCGAAAAAAGGAAGAAACTGAACACAAGCTAAGGTCAGAGACAAGACATAAATCAAATAGTGAAGGTAAGTGATTAGCGTTGTCAGGAAATTAGGTAAGTCACAAGTTAACTATCTGAGTAAGAGATTGAAAATTGCAGAAGTTTTAGGTTTTAGTGCCAGTAGGGTCAGTGTTGTTAGAGACAAGCCATTTAGTGTGATGAGCATTAAATTCACCAATAACATTAATATTGGCATGAGGGTTAATGAGAAAGGGTATGGCCAATTTGATCAGAAATTACAACTCAAAGAGTGCAGTCAAATGAAGAAGGAGAATGGTAAAGAACAAAGAGAAAGGTGATAGAGTTAAGAAGCACATAAAAGAATGGTCAGAGGATTCAAACCTGATTTCCTGACAAATAGGTGAATTGATGTGTAAGTAAACCCTCAAGCCAAACATTTGACTACTTGAACCTTTGCAAATCAAAGGATAGTACCTATTAATACTGACATCTGTAAAAGGAACAGCTGAATTCAAATTAGTTTTACAAAGAGCAACCAAGTCTAGAGAATTTTGCAAAACGTAAGGTTCAACTGATGGAAAGTTAATTCGAAGACCACAAATTTTTGTGTAAGATATATTGAAAGTTAGTTGATTGGGATGTTTTTTATGCTTAATATTTTTGCTAATTTTTTGCATGATTCAAGTTTAAAGATAACTTGACTTATTTTTTGATAGAGCATGGTATCCCAAGCAATAAGCTAAGCAGTTGTCTCAGTTCTACTAGCTAACTTAAAGGCATAAAATAGAGTTCCTTATGTGGCCTCAATGATGCACACCAAAAGCATTTACAAGGACACCAATTATGTGCAATATAAACCATTAAATTGAGTTTTAGAGCTGAGGGTACAGCTCTAAAACTCAATTTAATGGTTCATATTGCACATAATTGGTGTCCTTGTTAGAGATAAGAGGAAGAGTTGCATAGCCACTATTAAGAAGCACAAGCAATAATCTATGAGTAGAGTCAAGAAGATCCAGCATTCATGCATGCTTAATTGATGAAAGAGAGGTTTGAGGCCAGTCAACAGAATTGTTCAGCTTACCCCTAAAGTCTTAGCCTACGAGGCTACTGTCTTCTACAAGACAGTAGCTGGATGCAGTTAACTCCTGCCCAAGATGAGTATTTTTATCAAGGCACTACCTCCAGCCTTTACTTGTTCAAAAGCCAGAAGGCAGGGGATTTTTTAGTTGAAGTTTATTTCTCCTAGCTTTTGCCTAATAAAAAAATAAACTCTAAAGGCAGCAGGGCATGGGGCTAGTACCTGGTACATATATATTTAGGTACCCAAGGAAACTTTTTGAATAGAGAAATGTCAAGTACATATATATAAATATATATATATATATATATACATATATATATATATATATTTATATATATATATATATACACACACATATATATATATATATATACAACCTTCAGAATTAGGGTCAGCATTTGGCAATGCCAACTCTAATTCCGACCTAACTGCTGACCTGAAAGTGTCTGAGGTCAGCAAAAAATGCTGCACTTGTTTCTATGTTTTATGGTCAGACCTTTGTATCAAATAATTCTTGCTGACCTGATGCCGACCTCCAAAAGAATGAGCAAATTATTGCCGACCTCATTTTACTTAATTCCGAGGGTTGTATATATATACATATATATATATATATATGTATATATATATATATATATGTATATATATATATATATATATATATATATATATATATATATATATATATATATATATATATATATATATATATATATATATATATGTAGGGTATCCAGGAAAACCTTTAGAATAGAGAGATAACAAGTATCTAGCTCTAACCAGGTACTTGGCTTTTTTTTTTAGTTTTTAAAGTACTCAGATAAATACTGCCTAGCAACATATACATGCTGCACAAGAAAAGATGAAGAGTTATAATATATTTCTAATAACTGCTTCTGCCTAAAATTTCAAATCTATTCAATATGTCAAAACTGCTCTATGTCAAAAATAGCCATTCTGTCAACACTAATGAACTAATACATCTATTGAAAAATTTACTTGTGTTGATACAAAAGCTTTAACAACATGTCAAAACTATTCAATATCTCAAAACTACCCAATAGTTAAAACTATCTGATATGTCAAAACTACCTATATAAAGAGTGAACTGATCTGTTTAAAAGTTTACTTTTGGTCATACAAAATCTTTAGTAATGACTTATAGCTGACTTATTAATGTTATCTGTGTATCATTCTTGATACTATTGGGTATATATATATATATATATATATATATATATATATATATATATATATATATATATATATATATATATATATATATATATATATAACTTTTTTTTTTTTTTAAACTTATGTCCAAATCAAACCTAATTCATGCCATGAATTAGGTTTGATTTGGACATAATTTTTTTTGTTCATAAGGCATTATATTTATGCTCTGATAATAATATTGAAAAAGAGTATTTAACAAGAGTTATTATTTCTAGTTGATGTTTTTGTAGAAAATGGTTATAAAAAAACTAGCCTGGAAAATATTATAAAAACCACTAAAGAAAATTTACATAATAAAAAACAAAATATTGAAACTCAACATTCATCAATTACATCATCTTTATTGTGGATTCCAGGAATAAGCCCCAAGTTAAAAAAAGTTTTCAAAAAAGCAGGTTATACATCAGTCTTCAAATCTCCAAAAAATTTACAACATATACTTACCACATAAAATAAACCTGCTCTTCCTATAAATTCTTACCCAGGTGTGTACAAACTTGAATGCTCCTGCAAAATGTTATATCAGTGAAACAAAATTAAAAATCTCATCTTGCATTTACCAACATCAAAAAAATACATACGATGGAAAATGTGATTATTCAACCATAACAGAGCATTCAAAAAATTGACATGGCAATTTTTCATGGAACAATAAAAATACTTTAAAAGTAGAAGTTAATAATTTTAACAGAAAAGTGAGGGAAGCCCTTAAAATACAACGCCATGAATGCTCGCCTTCGGACGGCGGTCTAAATTAGGATGATGGAGGTTACGTCACAACTTCCTTTTGGAAACCTATGTTTTGATAGTTGGCCTGAAACAAAACATTCCATATGTGATCAAAACGTCTCCTGAAAAAACAATCAATGCTGAATGGTTAAAAGAAGAAAAGAATTGAATGTCTTTGTATTTTAACTGAATGTGAATTTAATGATAGAGTTATTGTGTGTGACAACCATTCCGCTAATGTTTCTTGTTTTAAAAAAATCCTATATGCATCGAATCAACAAGCCGAAGATTTGTTTTTTATTTACAATCTAAAAAAAATTTACCTCTGTTTTGATGTTGTACATCTTATTAAAAACATCAGAAATAATTTGTTAAATTGCAAAAGATTTTTATTTCCAGATTTTAACTTAAATGGATTTAAAGATCCTATAATTGTATGTGGGGGAGAAATTAAATGGAGTACTTTCCACAATATTTATGAAAAAGACCTCGCTCTTGATGCTGGTTTGCGTAAAGCACCAAAAATAACAATGAAAGTGTTACATCCTGGCAATTTTAAACAAAATGTTTCTTCAGCATTTGCAATTTTCGATGAAGCTACATCTGCAGCGATTCACTTGTATTTTCCTGATCTTAAAAGTAGTGCAGATTTTCTTACATTATTTAACAAGTGGTGGGTTTTATCAAATTCTAAATATCAGTATTCAACATGTAATATTTTAGGCAATGCAGTCGTTTCTGGTGATAAAAAAACTGAATTTCTTAGGGAAATGGCATATTTGATTGAAGTTTGGCAATCACAAAAGATACCAAACTGTGAGAAGTTCATTTTAAGTGTTCAGACAGCTGCAGCACTAATAAGAACACTTAATAGTTGTGCCTCATTAATCGAGGACTTGCTTAATGATGGATATCACTTTGTTTTAACTGCGAGATTTCAAAGTGATCCTATAGAAAGGAGATTTGGACAATATAGACAAATGAGCGGTGGATGATTTTTGGTGGGTTTAAAAGATGTCACTATTTCTGAAAAAATATTAAAAATTAAAAGTATAGTTAAAGAAAGTAATCACTTTAATGATAGTTTGAAAGTGCCTCTTGAGTCAGAAAATAACTTAACAGACTTGAAAAACTTTCTTCTTGATATTGATAAAGCTCAGTGTACTCTAGAAATCATGGCGCTTGCACCAGAAGGTAGGGAAGTAGGTGCTCATATTGCTGGTTTTATAGCAAAGAAACGTAAAAAACATTTTAGTACATGTTTTAAAGAATTTTTATATTGTGTCAATATTGATGAAAGCAATTCTGATCATACTTATTTAACAATTATTTCTAGGGGTGGTCACACTCACTATTCCTTCACCATTACTTTTGGATTATGTTTGCACATTCTTTGCTATGATTGACTACTTTTATAAAAAAATTAAGAAATTTAGTTTACATGCATGACAAGCTTTGGAATATTTGTTAAACCACTTTTATGACTCTTTTCAGACTTTTTCTTGTCCCATGCATGAGAAAACTGGGATAAAACCTGCTGGAAGAACATTTTTCTTAATAATAAAAGAATTATCTCTACCAGCAAAGTAGCTGTTGATCATTTTAAAAAGAGAAAATTTGTGAAAAATTAATAAATTATATATAATATAATTATTTTATTATTTAATGAAAAAAGAAAAACATTTTAATATTTTTTATAACTGTTTTGTTTCTTACATTGTTTTTACTAATTCTAAATTTTAAATAAAGATAAAATTCTTGATTTATTTATTTCTTAATAAATGTTTGTTTAATATCTAAAATTATGAATATATATTACTTTTGTGGACTTTTTAAATTTAGAAAGTAAACTAATTTTGAAAATGTTCAAAATGTATTAAGTTTTTAAAACATTTTAATACCATTTTAAAAACTGGCCTTCTATTTTTTCTTCAAAATGCAAAATATCCGGCCGTATAATTAAAGTAGGCCATGGTATATACTTGACAACGAGGATAGCTATAATCCCTTGAAATATTAAAATAAAGAGTTACATCCATAATAGAAGTTTTATTTTATATATATATATATATATATATATATATATATATATATATATATATATATATATATATATATATACATATATGGCCGGTGCGAGTAGGTGTCACATGGGGGGTGCCATTACAACCTTTGCCAACTAAATAAAATTTACATTTACCGACTAACTAGTTGAAAAGGGACGACTAAGGTTCAAATTTCCCGACTAAAAATCATTCATGGGGACACCCCTCCCCCCTCTCCCCACACACACGCGCTAATCCCGCTGGCTTTGTATATATATATATATATATTATATATATACATTATATATATAATATATATAATTATATATATCATATATATAATATAAATAATGTATAATATATAAATATATATATATATATATATATATATATATATACATATATATATATATATATACATATATATATATATATATATATATATATATGTATATATATATATATATATATGTATATATATATATATATATATATATATATATATATATATATATATATATATATATATATATATATATATATATATATATATATGTATTTCATGATGTTTTAAAATGACACACAATATATATATATATATATATATGTATTTCATGATGTTTTAAAATGACACATATATATATATATATATATATATATATATATATATATATATATATATATATATATATATATATATATATATATATATATATATTTCATGATGTTTTAAAATGATATATATTTATATATTGTATATATATGTATTTCATGATGTTTTAAAATGACATATATATATATATATATATATATATATATATATATATATATATATATAATATTTATATATATATGTGTTTTATATATATTATATATGTATATATATATTTATATATTATATATATATATGTATATACATATATATATATATTATATATATATATATATATATATATATATATATATATATATATATATATATATATATATATATATATATATATAGATAGATAGATAGATAGATAGATAGATAGATATTCTGATAGAGATATTCTGGCTTTTTAAAATGCTGTAATCAAAAATATATTCTTATAAGTTTCTTTACAAGTTTTTAAGTTTTCACTTCTAAAAAAAAATGGTCTAATCAAACCAAATAAAGCATTAGATGTGATATTTAGTTCAAATAAAAGGTAATTATATATAGTTTAGTATTTTAAAACAGCGTCAACTCAAAAATAAAAATTTTTCTAATCGAATACAAAGTCATATAAAAATAGATTAAATAATAAAATAAAAAATTATTCAAAATAAAAGTCTAAAAAATTATATTAAAACTTTTTAGACTTTTATTTTGTTTGTAATTTAGAAATAGTAAAATTAATTAAGTAATATTTTGTTTTTATTTTTTCTAATCTAAAACTATGGAGTAGAATGACGTTTGACTTGACCAATTAGAAGGAATAAAAGCTTTCATACCTGTTATAAAGTTCTTACAGAAAACTTTATTTAATTAACTTTTAATTTTTATTTGTTTTATTTGCGTTGAGTTAAAAAATAAGGTTTTGTTATCAATTAAAGTTTCTGTTGCCATACTTATTGTTGCTAAGCTTATTTAGTGTTTATTATTTTTATTATTATTATGTTTGTTGTTTTTCAAATTTTTTTTTTTTTTTTTTTACTATAATTTATTTCAACGCCATGTTTTTGATATAGTTATTAGTTTAATAGTTACTACTGTAATACAATGGTTTAAACTAAGTAATTAATATTTTTACCCCAAAAAATCCCTTCATTCTTATCCAAAGCATCCAAATTATTATCAGTTTCTTAATTTACTTGCAAAATTTTAAAGAAAATTTCACTTGAAAAAAATATAAAATTTTGTTAAATAAAAATGTTTAATTTTTGTAATAGAATATGAAGTGACATTCAATGACAACAGTGAAACATGTGTCAGTGAGCTGAGCAAACTGAAAGTTGAAGTGTGATTTTTTTTTATTTTTTTAAGATTTTGATTAACATTTTAGTTACTAATTTGGTTTTCTGAAGCAATTATTTACTAATTTTTTTGTTTAGGAATGTGAAATGCTTTATAAAAAATGTTTAAAACTTTATGATGACAGCAATTACAAAGATTTTTTATGTGATGGCTATATTTTGATTCATAACTATCTCTTGTGGAGCTTTGGTATTAGCTTATTTAGTTAAATTTTTATAATTTTGATAATGAGTAAATGATAAAGTTTACTTTATCAAACTTCTTTTTATCTTCAAGGTTATCAAAAGCAAATGTTAATTGGTAGAGCTCAAATGTGGCAGTTTCTTTTAAAGGTTAGGGTTTTTATTTTAACTAACACATTTGAATTTTGAATCTGAAAATATACTTTTAATTAAGTTGAAGAAAATAGAATGTCACAAGTATCTATAACTATGAAACATAAATCACAAGTATCCATAACTATGAAACAGAAGTAAATGAAATATGGTAATTAAAAATGTAGTTTAAAAAGTGTTTTAATTTTTAGTTTAAACATTTTTTATAGATACTGAATGTTGCTATGGATTTAAAAGAACATCAAAAAGCTATTAAACTGGTGAATAAAGCAATCTTATTTAAACCTTATCAAGAAAGTCGAAAATATAGACTAGAGCTTGACTACCTGCAAACAACCATATATTTTGTTGCTGGCGAGTACGCAAAAGCGTTTGAATCTTTTCGGATTTTAATTATGCATGAAACAGAAGAGGTTATTGATAAGAATACAATTTGGAACTTGTTTGCATTAATAACAAATAAAATGATGGACAAAAGACACCATCGTTATGTGCTAAGATTGCTGTTTAGAAAACCTTTGCGTGTACCTTTAATAATGATCAATGGAAATAATTCATTTGTATCTGGAACTTATAAATATGCAATAGGTATTTAGATTTCTAAGCCATAAAAATGAATAATCTATTTATAACAGCTTAATGAAGTTGTGATTGGTCTTAAACACCACATAATTTGTGCTATTTAAAATTATCGTTAATTTTGTTAGATCCATCTTCGGTTTGGGCAGGATTCCATAATGCTATTTTCCTATTAAATGACATAATGAAAAAAAAGAAATAATATTTTGCAACGTAATGTCCTTTCTAACATCAACCTGTTTTGCAATAAGAACTGAGTATTTTTTAGGGTTGTTTATCAAAAAAAATGCAATTAGAACTGAGTATTTTTTACGGTTGTTCATCAAAAAAAATTAAGAAAGTTTTGCTTTTTTATCTTCTTTATTTCAAGTTGCTATTACGGAACTTGTACATGTGCAAATTCACCTTCTATAACGCATTATACAAAAAAAAAATAATAATTCGGTAATAAGGCTTTACAAAAAGAAATTTGCGAAACGAATCATTTGAACAAATGCTTGCGAAACAGTTCTTACGGAATGTTCTTTTATGGAAAAGATTCGAAAGCATTCACTAAACTGTTAAATAAAAAAAAAATGTTATTTATTAAATAAAAATGTTTTAAATAATTTTTCAATAATATATATATATATATATATATATACACACACACATATATATCTATTTATATACATTATTATATACATATATTTATTTATTTATTTATGTACATTATTTATATATGTATATTAGGGTGTCCCAAAAATTTTTTTTATTTGAAATGTTGAAGTCTCACCCTCTAAAAAGTTTCTATGTTGTAAAAGAACATCACATATTTTTTTCCAAATCAATTAAATACATTTAAGAAGGTCCCTCAAAGGCTTTATAATATCTTTATCCCAGTCTATACGCTCTAGTGCTGCATTCATTCTTGTATAATCACCTTTCCTGTTTGTGATGACACTGCCTAGTGGTGGTCCTATTTTCATGTCTATCACTATTTCACTCTCGTCCATTTTTACAAGATTTACTATGTTTGGTTTTTTTTTAACCTCAATCTGAAACATTGGTTCTTACAAGCACTAGTGGAGATAATTTTTGTTTAAATTGTCAATGAAGTTTAAGCTTTGATTAAAGTTACCTTTCATACTAATGCACAGATTGTCAGACCATTTAATGTTAGGTTAGTTGAAATCTCCAGCTATAAACATATCTGTGAACTTTTTGTTATCCACCGAATTTTTGGCTCCTTCTATTATTTAGTTTAATTCTGCATTTAATTCAGGTGTACTGTTTGGTGGCCTGTAAAAACACCCCAGCAGTATGCGGTCCTCAGTTGATAGCTTAGCACTACACCACACTTGTTCAACAGTTTTTTTGCATACTTTCATGTAACAGTCACCTGTGGTTATAATGGATTATTAATAGTCCCTCCACCAATACATATTGATCTTTTTTTTTTCGTAGCATATATAACCGTCTAAATTTATTATTGATGACTCATTAAACCATGTCTCGGTTATCATAATTATGTCCAGAATATCCACCTGTATTTGAGCTTCAAATTGGTATCTTTTGCTGTATAGGGAAGTGCCGTTAGACAATACAGCTATCTGTGTTTTTATCTCCTCAAGTGCCTTAGTCATCTTAGCTTTAAAATCATTAACATCTTTTTTCAGTTCTAGATTTCTAATCATGTTGATCTTTAGGAGGGCTACCACCCTTAATAACAGTTAATTACCTCCTGTCTGTGAAATATATATTTTTATTATTATTAGTTGTAATCTTAATAACACAAATAGAACCGTTAGTTTTTGTTTTTTTCTCTTTATATCCTTATATCTTTATATCTTATATCTTTAATTAATAAGCTGCTCTAAAAAACCCTAATACCTCTCACTGAATCTTGCGATTAATTTATTAAGTGCACTTCTAGTCCTAATTTACCACTCTAACTTTACTTATTTTATAAAAGAAAGCATTTTTGAAAAATATCTTCGATAATGTTGTCTTTAAATTTTTTTTTAGTTTCCTGTTATTATTAAGGTGATAAAGCAAAAGCTCATGTAACAGAGCACCTCAATAATAAAAAAGTGAAACTGAATAAACATAAAATCATTTTATTTGAAAACAAGTGAGAACTATTTTTAAGCATTTTAATATACTTTTTGCATTGAAAAAAACAAAGGCATTGTTTCCCAAATACGCAATTGTATTCATATAAAACCATCTCTTTTTTCCCAATAACAAACTGACTCGGGGACTAATTTAACTGCTCTCTAACAACTTTAGGTAAGTAATGAATATAAAGGGTCCAAGTAAGAAACTTTGAAATCTTTGAATTAAACTAACGATAAGTTTGCAGTGAAAACTAATTCAGTTTAGTTCAATATTCTTTTTTTTAACCGAGTCACTCAAAACACCTTAAGTAAAAATAAAAAGCTCACCTCAATATAAAGCTCTTTCATTAAAATCTAAGATTCGGTTTAAGAACCTGAACAAGACATATTAACAAAAGTTTAATTATTAGATTATTAAGATAATTTTTGACAAATTAAAAAGAGTTGCTATAATTAAATTATAAAAAAATGCTGGATCCCTCCACAATCTTTTTATATGAATGTTATCAATAATAAGCACAAGTGTTTTAAACGGTAGTATATGTTTTTTTTAAAGCTAGTTAAAATAGAATCCATTTTGTTTTACTTTATCTATTTTATTTTTTTGATGTTTATTGAAAGCTTTTTTGTTGTCATCTAGTTCTTGCCTTTTGATTTTACTATTTGATGGTTCAAATATTCAACAGATTTTAAATGCCTATTTATGTTGCTAATAAAATCGTCAGACCATTTTATTTTTATTATACTATTTTCCTTGGGATATTTTGTTTTACAATGATGTTATATTACAAATGTATAATTTGTTATTGGTGAATCTACATTTAGTTGCTCTAAATTTTCTTTTTTAAAACAAAATGGAAAAGTTAATGTTGTTTAAGTTGTCTTCATTATTTAATTCTCATTCATTAAATGATATTTTAAAAAGTATATTTCATGAGTGTTTGTTTATTTATAAAAGTTTACAACTGAAATTTATCAAATTATTATTATTTTAGTTACTTAATTATGTGTTTCATTCAAAAAACTAATTAATTGGGTCATTCCATAAAAGATGAGCTAATTTTTTTGAAAATTTCATAGAAATTTCCCTAAAATTTCAACTCGTTATCTTAAAGCATTCTAAAATTATGGCATTTAGAAAAATTAATGTCTTATTTCAATCAACTTATTGTCTTTTTTCAAAAAATTCTCATTTTCAAATCCATATAAATAAAAAACCAATTATCTTAAATACTTAGAAATCAATTTGATGGCAGTAATCTACTCAACTTTCGAAAAAATAAAAATTTATTTTACAAAAGTAATTACTTTTCGGCCATCTTGGACTTCAAAGTTATAAAAAAAAATTACTTAAAAGAAAAAAACTTCAATATTAATAAAGCAAATAAAAGCAGAATACACAAGTGATTTTAAATGTTATGTTCTTTTGTGAGATTATAGGTGGTAGTCATCATTCATGATAAGTTTTGTAACATTGGATCCAAAATTATAGACGTTAGACTTCCTAAAAAAGCCTCCAGCTTTAAAATGGTAAAATTAGGTCCATTTTAGAACTCAAAATTATGCGGGTGTACAGTAAATTTAACACTTGAAACTTTTAGGAATGTATTTTCTATATAAGAAGAAGAAATACAGAAAAAATAAATTTAGGATGTCTTGTAGCTGCTGAGATATCTGAACTTAAACTTTCTATCATAATAGGATTCTGGAATTGAAAATTGGCCATTTTGAATTTGTTATATAGTCAATATCTTTAAAAATGATGAACATTTTAATGTAAAAATTTGTTTATTTATTCTTTTATAAACAAAGAATTTGAAAATAAATTTTAAAATAAAGATATCCGTACTTAAAGGCTTATATTTTTCCAATACATTAATAAATTTGAAACTCAAAAAAAAAAAAACAAGAAATAAATTTCAATTACAATAAAAGAATGTAAAATAATAGTTTAAATATTTTTTTTTTAACATTTCAAAACTTAATGTTATTTCTTCAAATTCTTGCTCAGAAATTTGATAGCTTCTTGCTGATTGACAATGTGCAACCAGAGTATTTACTTTTGTTAAAGCATTTACAACAGGAACCCAATATTGGCCTTCTCACCCGGGTCATTTAAAGCTTATTTCATTTTGTTGCATAAATTTTATATAAATAAAATGCCCCTCTGAATGTATTCCATGTTCTTGAAAATGATGACATAGATTGCTAAGAGTTTTATAGTTTTTGTATTGGTTAGCTGCTCCATCACTAATGTAATAACATAAGGTCAAATTTGGCAAAACAATTTTGATATTTTTTAAAACTCTATCTAAAAATGCATTAGCAGCATTAACATAATGTAGCATACAGTCAGATATTATGCAATAGTTTATTGGTTTGAAATTATTTTATAGTTTGTTATATATAACAAATTTGTTATATATAACGAAGTGGTGTTTGGCTATTATTCCAATGAAATCTTTGGATTGCGTCTTGTACTATAAAATTATAATTTTTCAAAATCAAGCAAAATAATACTTTAGTTTTGTGGAAATTCTTTCAGAATTTGAAGGAATAAGGACTGTGCCTTTGAAATTAAATAATGTGTGATTGAATTGTAAAAAACTAAAAGTGAATTCAATTAATAAAAATATCTTTAAGAAACTCCTCCAACGGAAGTTCTAAAATTACCAAACTAATAGCGTTCTCCTATTTTAATCACTGTTTGTACAGCACTATATCTTCATATTCAAAACCATGTTGAAGATATCACTTACATACTGTTTTAAGTTTTCTAGATTAGGGCAGTTATCACAACTATGAAGAATACATCTGTGATTCTCTATGTAACATGCTGTTTTGATAAAAGTTCTTTATACTCAATGTTACCCAGCACTGCATAAGTAATCAACTTTAACTTTTGGTGTATTTGACAGACACAAACTGTATGCACACCAAATGCAGTATCTACTGTTACACACCATTTTGGACGAAAATAAAAAACTTGGAAAATCCAACTATTTGGTATTAATTTTAATTAGTTTATTTTTTCATTTCTGTTTGATTAAGCAATTTTTTGCTTAATGGCTTCACAAAATAAATCTTGGTCTGTTGATTTTTTCAAATATTCATTGTTTATTGAGCAACTAATAGTAATTTCATCATTGGAAATTCCCAAATAATTTGAAATTAATGTTTGGCAAAAATTTGAAACTTTCTTTACCTTTTTTTTTTTTCCATAACTGGGTTTGTCTCGAATAGACACTGATTTTAATAGAGAACAACACAACATCCTGAATGTTTTATTTGCAATTTCAGAAATAATCGGAATGCATGATGTATTGGTTTCATCATTGTTTTTAATAGTTACATCTTTCTTACGACAAGTTCTTTCTTAAGACATCTATTTTACAACAAGAGTTTTTCACCTGGACATAACTTTATTCTTAAAGCGGTTTCTTGATTGATTGACTGAAGAGATTCTAAAAAGAAATAGAAAACTAATCTATACAATTATTACAATTTTTATTTAAAATATAAAACTTGAATAAACATAAAACTGTCATTTAAGTTTTCATCAAGTCTCCATGCAATTGTTTTTTTTTTTTTTTTCATAAAGCTTTAAATAACTTTTTTGCCAACCATTTGAGTAAACAAAGTTTTATGGCAATCAAGTTAAAACTCAGATATTATATATTTTGTTGCTCATTTTAACTCATAGTTTTAAAATACTTGTTATTATTTTATCTAGATATAAAAATATGTTATTTCATTTATCAAATTTAATAAAATGTATTTTCATCATATGTATTCAATAACTTATTATGAAAATTGCATCATAAAATAAAGTAATACTTGGCCACTATTTTTTTTAACCCCACTTAAAAATAATTAACTCTTAGTTATTTTTAAATTCCTTGTTTAATAAAGTATAATTAAACAAATTTTACATTAAAATGTTCATCATTTTTAAAGATATTGACTATATAACAAATTCAAAATGGCTGATTTTCAATTCCAGAATCCTATTATGATAGAAAGTTTAAGTTCAGATATCTGCAGCTACAGGACATCCCAAAATACTATTTTTTCTGCATTTCTTCTTCTTATATTGAAAATACATTCCTAAAAGTTTCAAGTCTTAAATTTACTGTACACCCGCATAATTTTGAGTTTTAAAATGGACCTAATTTTACCATTTTAAGGCTGGAGACATTTTTAGGGAATCTAACTTCTATAATTTTGAATCCAATGTTACAAAACTTATAACAAATGATGACTACCACCTATATTCTAACAAAATAACATAGTTTTCACATTTGCTTCTGTATTCCGCTTTCATTTGCTTTATTAACATTGAAATTTATTTCTATTAAGTGATTTTATTTATAACTTTAAAGTTCAAGATGGCCAAAAAAAAATTATTTTTGTAAGATAAATTTTTATTTTTTCGAAAGTTGAGTAGATTACTGCCATCAAATTGATTTTTAAGTATTTAAGAAATTGGTTTTTTATTTATATGGATTTGAAAATAAGACTTTTGAAAAAGACAATAAATTGATTGAAATTAGACATTAATTTTTCTATATATCATAATTTTAGAATGCTTTAAGATAATGAGTTGAAATTTAAGGAAAATCTTTTTTTTTATAAAATCTATGAGGGGTGTAAATTTAAAGAAAATGTGAGATGGTCACCCAGTAAGGTTTGGCTCATCTTGTATGGAATAACCCAATTATATTTATTATACTGTTAAGAATATTATTATACTGTTTTGCAAGTTGTGGTGGGAAACAATTTTATTTCGAATGAAATTTCGAAGTTTTATCATTCTTTTAAAAAATAAAACCTTAAAATTTTAATATGTTGCAATACTGAAAATAAAATTTTATTATAAACATTTTGTACATAAAGGTTTTTGTTTTTTATAATTATATCCATATGGTGAACAATGTTTCTTTATAGACTTCAAAATGTCATATAGCGAAATAGATCGTTTTGCAAGTGCGACTTCCGTAAGTGCTACTTTCATATGTAGCGAAATAGTTTTATTTTGTAATTCCTCATGCAAATTGCTAAATTTCTTAACTAGTGTTTGTGAAGTATATATTGACGATTTTATATTTTTCATAATAATTGGTATGAAAAAAAAAATTCCTGATTCTCAATACCCTTGCGAAAGAATTTTCTTTTTCTGGAATTGCCAGAAATCTTCCAGTTAACAACTCTTATACTTTTATTGTAATAATACTGCTAGAAAGATCATCGATTAAAGTTTTGAGTTTCTTCTACCTGTGCCCACAAATAAATTCAGGGTTTTATACCAGTGTTCTTTCTTTTATTTGAGTTGTCTTTACTATAGCTGAGAGCCCTTGCCTGTTTCTATTACTAATAATAATAATACATGTGGTAGTGGTTTAGTGATAGAATGCTTGCTTGATAAGCAAGAAGTTCCGAGTTTGATCCCCACCTAAACTTAATTCTCTGCGCAACGGCCTTGTTTATCAAGGTTTGTGTTTTGGAGTTTTAAAGTTGACAGAGGGTTGTAACCACAATTGAAGTAGCCTCCTTGACTGTTATAGCCTTAGGAAGGTGAGTTTACATTAAAAAAAAAACAACATAATATAACAATAATATAGTAACAATATTATTATAAAATTAAAAAAATAAAAAGGATTTGATGTTGTGTGTTTTTTATATTAATGAGGTTTTGTATCTCAGTATATTACTAGATTTTTAACTGACGAGGTTATACAGTACATATGTTACAGTATATTACTAGATTTTGTTTATTTAATAATGTGTATAGCCATATTTTATTTTAATGTTTAGGTGAGTATCTTAGATGTTTTCGGGAATGGCCGACAAATCCTTTAACCAGCTTACTTTTGGCTGTATCCTATCTCCACCTTGCATGCCAAAAGTTCCATAAAACAAGACACGCCAGTATAATTCAGGTTCAATATATTCAGTTATCAAAATTCTCCTGATTTAAATCTGTGCATCTCAATCTTGTGTAATCCTAGTATCATTAAAAAATATATATATATTTGAATTTATTATTGAGCTGTATTTATTATTGATAAGTTACTATCCAAATTTTAGGGATTGATATTTATGTTTCAATATATGAGTCTAAGAAAAGAAAACCAAGAGTCTCACTATAATATGGGAAGAGCTTTTCATCAAATTGGTTTGAAATTTTTGTGTTCTTATGTTTGTATAAGATATATGCTTGACCTTTGTTTTTTTTAATAAATTAGTTTGATGTCATAGTTATCTATAAATTTTTAGCACAACAAAATGTTCATGGTGTTTTAACAGTATTCTGACATTAATTTTTAGTTTTGATAAATTTGTTGTTATTTTACTTTTGATTTTAATATAATATGTATAATGATAACCAGGGGTGTGGAGTCGAAAAAAAAAGTAACGACTCCGACTCCAGTTGTTGAAATTTTTTGAGTACAACTCCAACTCCGACTCCAACTCCAAAGCAAAATTTTTGAAAAATTCTTTGAATTTTTTTAAAAATATTATGCGATAAGTTAAAAAAAATTTTTTGACAAATTTATGAAATGTTCTTTAAGGATTAGTATAAATATAAGGTTAATTAAATGTTTTATACATGCACGTGCAATACCGAGAAGTTTTACTATTGGAGTCAGATGCAATTTTGTTTAGCGACTCCGCTAAAAATGTTGCAACTGCGACTCCGCAGCCCTGATGATAACATAATTTATATCATATTATTGATAATTATTTAAAAAGTAATTACAAAAGCATAAAAATGGTTTTAAATAAAAATCAATTACTTTTTATTTACTTATAATAAATACATTTTAAAACTTGACCTGCTGATTTTTCTGACGTTTTGTAGTAATAATTTTTTAACCAACTAATTTTTTTCAATTACTTTTCAATTACTTTGAAACCAAAGTTTATTTTTTATATAGTAATCTGAAGATAATGCTATAAGCCTAAAGTATAACCATTATATGTTTTACATATTTATATATCATGCAATTTTAGGTCTTGTACATTTTGCAACATTTTATTATAATAAGGCTTTGGAATTTCCAATGCATAATGAAAAGGAAAGCAACAAAGCTGAGGTATCAATTTTTACAAATCATTCTAAGAGAATATTTTGTGTAACCATATTCTTTATTATATCATGTAACATATCATTCAATCAATGCTTCGTGGATTTATATTCTGCATTGTACAATTATATTAGTAAAAGTTTTGTTTAAATATATTCTGTATTATATCATTACATAATAAAAGTTTTGTGAAACCACATTTTGCAATAATTATCTTTTACAAACAAAAGTTTCTGGATTATAAGTTGCTGTTGTGTCTACCTAAATCTACAATAATATGTTCGAAAATCTGCAATAATATGTATGGTTCAAAAAACAACATTTTTGAAAAATCTGTAGCATGCACCTATATGTGCACTATATAGTAAAATAACACTGGATTTAAGACGATTTAAAAAAAATTTATTTCAGAGGTGCCTTAAGACCCTTGAACATTTAACAAGTATCATGTTGGGTCAAAAAAATCATGTTGGGTCAAAAAAATCATGTTGGATCAAAATATCATTTTTTACTGCCTATTTTTTAACTAAAAATAAAAAGTATGCATTTTTACAAAAAAAAATTTATTACAATTTTTCCCTCAATTTTTCTTTATATGATATATTTTTAATTTTTATTTAAGTTTGCTTCTTTTAATATGGTATACTTTTGAAGAACTTTTATAATATTAAGGACCTGTCTAATGTTTAAGTTTGAGCAAACCCTAAAAATGTTTCTCATTCAAAACTTTTTTAAACCCAGTGATATTTTATAATAGAGTACACATTAAGATGCATGTTGTAGGTTTTTTTCAAAAATGTTGGTTTTTGAACCACCCCAATGTATATATTCACTTTTTTTTCTTTTCAGTATTTGTTTAATTGATTTTGTTGATTTAGTATCATCCGTTTATTGATTTACACAGAGAAGCAGCTTGTAACCTAGCCATGATATACAAAGCTAGTGGTAACATAGAACTTGCAAAAAAAACATTGTACAAATATTGCTGGGTTTAAAAATGTAATAATAAATTTTTTATCAAATATGACTCATGCTTTGAATAATTGTTGTTAATTTATTTACAAAGTTTTTCACAAATTCTCACCCCTTTTCTTTTTTACAAATCTTTTTAGAATTTATTATAAATTTATTTATTTTCTTAGATCTTCACATTCTGTTAGGCTATACATGCATAGTAGTTCAAAAATTGATTTTACTAGTTGTTGGTGTTTGATTTTTGATTTCTAAACTGATTATAGAAGAATTTTAAAATATTTATTTTATCATTAATTATTTACATTATTGCTTACTACTTTGTTACTTGTTTTGAAGAGCTTGCATTCCCTTTTATCTTCTTTAACAAAGACCAAGCTTGTATTTAATATTTTTAACTTTCTTTACGCCAAGCTTTATCAGTCAATGAAGTATCAGAAATGTCAGAAAACATATATTTTTTGTTTTCACCAAAAAAAAAATTTTAAGTGTTTTATAATATAAATTTATAACTATGAGTTTGAGCAAAAATATTCTGAAGACGTTCAAGTTAAAAAAACAATTTTATTCTGAAGACAATTGATTTAATAATAATTTTGTTCTTGATTTAATAATAATTTTATTCTAAAGACATTCAATTTAATAAAGGTTCAATTATTATTTTGAAATACTTTTTCTTGTGGCACATGATCATTTTTTTATTTTCTTACATATTTGTTGTTTGTTGCAATTTAGTTAAAATATTTTACAATTAAAGTGTTAAGAACAATTAAAAAGTTTAAAGCTAATATTTAATTTCAGCATGTTTGTTATTTTCTCTAAGCTTATTGTAGCATAATGGTTGTTTTTTATTTTTTCTAAATTTTAAAAACACCTATCAAATTTAAGTTTTTTAAAAGTTTGTGTTTTAATTAGATTGTATTTACAATAAATTATATTTATTAAATTATATTATATAATTAAATTGTATTGACAATAAAAATAATTTTTTTTTAGTTTTTTTTAAAAATATATAAAAAATATATATGAAAATATTCTCTAATCAATATTATATACTAAATGAGTCCTTTAAGGTAAGAATTTTATTTAAAGAATGTGCTGGTCAATGACATAAACAGTGTATTGTTTTGATAATTTCTAATTTCCTGATTTGTTGATGTTTCTATAATTCTTTACAATAAAATTAAATATATATTTTACCACTCCAGTTTATTGCATGAAGAGTTAAAGAAAAAACTAAATGATTGTAAATGTTTGCAAAAAATTCAAGATGAAGAATTCAAATGTCAGCTTTCAACACAAACCAAACAAGTTAATGATATGGTAAAGTTATTTTAAAATAAAATTAAGTTATTGTTAATAAATATTTATATATATATATATATATATATATATATATATATATATATATATATATATATATATATATATATATATATATATATATATATATATATATAATCTTTTCAAAAAAGTCAATTTTTTTGTTGTTGTTGTAAAAACTATAGTATAAAAATTTCATAAATTATTTAAAAAAGAATGGTAAGTACAAAGTACAATTTATGATAACTTAAAAAGACTTAAAAGATTAATTTTCTGACAAAAAGCATTCTGGCTGTCCAACATTCTGGCTAGAAAAATTAAATTTGCTTTAATTCAATAAAAGCTAAAGAAAAAAACAAAACTTTTTAATTAACTCTATAGTGTAAAATCACTTTTGGTCATTAATGATGAAAAATACTTTTGTGTTTGCAGGTGGTAACATGCCTGAAAATTCTGGATACTGCAAATATCAAAAAAAAATGCTACTAAATATTCTTTAGCACGACCCATTGAGAACTATTTTTACAAAAAAAATAACTTACTTTTAATCAAAAATTAGTGCTTTGTTTTAGAAAAGTACCCAAATATCTTTATTTGTTAATAAAATTTTTGTGTTTTTAAATTTTTTGCATTGTCTAACAACTTATGCATCACCCACTAAATACGTTTAATTATATTATTATATGAATATATTATTTTTAAGAAAAAAGTTTTTTCTTTATCATGAAGAATGTATTATTTTTAAGAATAAAATTTTTCTTTATCATGAAGAATATATTTTTTTAAGAATAAAATTATTATTAGAATATAATTTTAAAAATAAATATAATAAATGTTAAATCATAGTCAGTTAAAGTTTTCATTAAATAAAACAAAAGCTGGTAATAGTTTTGCCACCCTTTCTTAGATTTAATTATTTATCAAAATTTTAGTTAAAATAAAGTAATAAATTAGAAATTTAATTAAATGAAATATATTATTACTTAGAAAAGATTATTAAAAAAGTTACGTCAAGTTAAGAATAAAAAGTAAATAAAAAGTTTGATAAAGTTAAAGTAAAAGTTTTAGTATCCAACTTTTCATTCTGGAGTTAGAGATGGATTGAAAATGGATATACTAAAGTCTGTGTCTTTTTGAATTTTTTAAATAGAGTTATTGTCAATAAAATACAAGTAACTTTAGCTGTAACCTTTTTATATATACATAAAGTTAATAACCCTTTATAAGTCCATGGAGGTCACTATAGTTGAGTAGGCTGCTTCTTTTTTTTTACCTGTTGGTATACTTCTCACCTCTACCCCATAAGTACTGCATTCTTGTTGTACCGTTAAAAAATGTGTTTTTTAATATGCATACTATTTACAAATTTATGTTTTTCTATTGCAGACTTCAAAGTGTTTTTCAAGTTTTCTTGAAACTTCTAAAAAAGTAATATCACTATATGATACAAATAATGGTAAGTAATGATATAAATAATTTTTTTTAATTATAAGAGGATCGCTATTTTTTATTATTATTTTTTCAACTTTTTGTTTCTTCCTTAGAATCTTCTCAGTTTTTTTTTCAATATCCTCTTGATGACCTTTTTGCAGAAGAAGAGAAATTCACTTCTGCTCTTGCGGAGTACACTAAAAAACAGTTTTTCCAGGTTTGTTCCATTATTTAAATTGTTTATGCGACCTAATTTATTTGTAATATTATTGGATTTGATATTTTTGTAATAACCAAGGGCATCAGTGATATAGCAGAAACTAAAGATACTTCTCAGTATGGTTTATTGGATCTCAGTAATCCAGACACTCAAATTTTAAAAGGTTTTTTTTTCCTAATTTTTTAAATAATATTTATTGTTTCTCAATATTGAGAAATAATAAAAAATGTGTTAAATTATAATTTAATTTAGAAACATTTTTTTTTTATGAAATATAAGGAGAGAGTCAAGAGGAGAAAATGAAACATCGTAATGAACTACTCCGTCTCCAGTCACAGTAATTTATTTTTTTTATCAAACATTGTTATTCTTGAATTAATAATTTTAAAATGATTAAGAATGAATTTTTAAAATTTTAAAATGCATGAAATACATAATAATACAATGTTGACATTAAAATTCATGCAATACATAATATCATTATTGACATAGTAATACTCAAATATTTCTGAGTATATTGTAATAGATGTTAATAAAGATGATATTTGTTTTTATTGCAAGATTTTTTGAATTTGTTTCATTACTAAAATTTATTGTTCAAGAGAAAAGATAAATATTGTTGTCTCATTATTATTTTATAGAATAAATATCAATATTTTATGGAGTTTTAGTGTTTTAATATGATTAAATTTTAATCTTCTGTTTAAATGACTTTGAAAAAAAAAACTTTCAACGAAACTTCATTATTTTTAAATCCATTTTTTATTTATACTGTTACCATATCTGGGGCGGATCTTCCAATGATGTCCTTTCTCTTTTAGACTAGATGCAAAAACATCGCATTGTAAACATAGTTGGACCTGCTTTTATAACTAACCTCCAACTATTATCATATCGTCTTAATGTTGCTTTTCTATTTTCAATAATGTCACAAGTTAGTGTTGCTTAATCTATTTTCAATAGATGTCACAAGAGGCACTAGCTCTAAATAGCTAGTGCCTCTTGTGACATCTACTAAAATCTTATAAACCTTGTTTTTTTCCTAGAACATCAGTCCTTTGGAATTTGCTTTCTTTATCTTGTTTTCTTTATTCTTTTAATTTGCAATCTTTTAAGTCTTCTGTTAATCGTTATCTTATTCTATAAACTTCATCTTTTCTCTTCCAGTAACTTCCAACTCTAATAGTGGTTACTTGCAGCCTTGTTGGAAGTGAAGATGTTAAAAAAAAATTATCTTTTTATATGTTTTGAGTTTTAATTTTTAAAATATAATTGAGAATATTTAAAAATTTTATTAGGTACATGCAAAGTGAAATGAAACGTCTTCAGTCTGAAGTTAATTTTCATGGTGTAAAAAAAGCTCTTGAAACTGCAGAAGAACAATTAAAAATGCTGACTTCAGACTCATTCAATATTGATGAAATAGATTTTGAGTATGAGTATTTAATTTTTATTTCAATCTCATTTTTAGCAAAAGTTTTTTAACACTGTCCAATAAAATTTATATATCTTATGTAAAGTTGATGATTTAGCATTAGTTTGTATTTAGGGTATCAAAATGTCTTTCTAATACTCTTGTTTGTTAATGTTGTAGTTTATCATAAAATTGCAAGTTTTGGAGTAACTGCTGTGATTAAAAACAAATTTTGTTTTATAAGGTGCAGTAAGTAATAAAAAAAAAGTTTTTGTTATATATGCCACAAGCATTTTTTAAAAATAAAAAATGCTTTTACTGTGACAAACATTTTGTTTCATTTCTACAGAACCAAATCATTTCTACCAGAAAGTAATCCAGCTGTGCTATATTAAATAGTTTGTGTAAGCATTTGATAAAACTTATTATGCAATAAAGACTAAATTCCCCACACATAGTTTATAGTAACATAGAGTATTTTTATCTCATCTAATGAAAATTCTTGATCAGTACTTTGATGATGTTTTTTTTTAGAATAAATTTTAAATTTGAATTTAGCTAAATTTAACAAAAATATAAATAAAACTGCTTTAGTAAGTCTTTTCAAAAAAAGAAGAAAATAACGAAGAATATTGAAAGAAAAGATTGCTGCCCCATCCCAAATCCTCAGTTGATGTAGCAGCACTCTGCTGTGAGTCAAGCTATTTGTCATTCGATGTATGTACTGAAGCCCCTGGCAGCAGGTAATTTCAGTGTGATATCAGAGTGACAATCTTAACTACAATCTATCCAAATTCACTGATGGTTGTGCAAGAAAGTACAAAAAATGTATTAGCTTTTACAATCTATGCCAACGCAAGTGAATTTGGCCTCAAGTCTGAATATAACTTTTTTGCCATACCCAATGGGAAGTCACTATGAAATGGGATGAGCGGGACTGTAAAAAGGTTGACAATGCAAGGAAGTATGAAACGATCATACCAAAATCAAATTCTACTTTTTAATTTCCAACATAAGCATATTTAAAAAACTATCTGTTCCACAAACTTGCTCTAGTTCTGGTAAAAACTTTATGTTTGAAAAAGTAGAAATAGAAGAAGTTTGTACTTCTTGTGCATATTTGTGCTTTAAAATAAAAAAAAATTATGAATTATTACAAATACAGTCAAAAACATTAATAAATATCTGAATTTTTATTAAAAAAAGGTTTTGTTTTTTTTCTCACCTAAAAATAGTATAATTTTACATTTTAAATTGACTAAAATTTAGCTATTAGGTGATGCGGCATTGCTTTTAAAACCTTTACAAAAATTAAATTCGAACAATGTTATTTAATATTAGTTATGTATGTAATTCAGATCAAAATTACTTGTCTTATGTATGTTTAATAACTATTTTGAATAAAAAATATCTGTTATCGTTACAACTACAGTTTTACGATTTCTATAAAAAACCATATGAATATACTTTATGTTTAGGATGTAACATGTTAATTATACTATTTAAAATATATAAATATAATATATAAAGTACTTAGCATATATTATATTTTAAGCAGTGCAGTGTTGCTTTAATAAGATTTTTTAAAAGAAAGAAAGTAAAAGAGATATAAGGTTTTTTAAAAGAAAGAAAGTAAAAGAGATATAAGATTTTTTAAAAGAAAGTAAGTAAAAGAGATATAAGGTTTTTTAAAAGAAAGTAAGTAAAAGAGATATAAGGTTTTTTAAAAGAAAGAAAGTAAAAGAGATATAAAGTTTTTTAAAAGAAAGTAAGTAAAAGAGATATAAGGTTTTTTAAAAGAAAGTAAGTAAAAGAGATATAATGTTTTTTAAAAGAAAGTAAGTAAAAGAGATAAAAGAGATATATAAAAAAAAAGTTTAATCTAAATGATCTTAATAAAAAAACTTGTATTTAGAGTTTTAGGCATGAATATTTTACAACATCAAGCTTACCTGCAATCTAAACTACCTAAAACTATCAAAAAGAATAATTTAGTTATAATGAAACTGTAACTTTAGTTAAAACTAAATTTCTATCAAAGTTTATAAATTTAAAATTTATATCAAAGTATACTTATTATTATTTTAGTATACTTTTAAAGATTTTTTCTGGTCACAGAAACAGCCTTCAATACATAAAAAAAAATTATTTTTTTTAAGTAATTTTTTAAATTACAGTCAATTTGTTTTTATTGTATTTGGAAATATTTTTTTGTAATTTCTTGAATTCAGCTTGAATTCAAGATTAGCTGTTCAAAGCAATCAAAAAAAGGTTTTTTTTCCATACAGGAGTATAAAGTTAAGTCATCAGCAAACACTTCAGATGTTCACTTCAGATGTAAGGTTGTCAGGAGAATCATTAGTGTAGATAAGAAACAAAACACAACCAATGATAGAACCTTGAGGTACCCCAGAAGTTACTGGAAATGAAGAATAGTGTTGTACTTAAAGAAGAATGTTGTACTTAAAGAAATGAATTCCCAGATGTACTATATGAGGCAAGCTTGTGGAAAAGACCAGCATGCCAAACTTTATCCAAAATTTTAGGCATGTCAAGAGTAATACTCCTTGTCTTGCCGCCTCTATCTAATGCACAATAAAATCTTTTAATCTCTATCTAATGCACAATAAAATCTTTTAATCTCTATCTAATGCACAATAAAATCTTTTAATCTCTATCTAATGCACAATAAAATCTTTTAATCTCTATCTAATGCACAATAAAATCTTTTAATCTCTATCTAATGCACAATAAAATCTTTTAATCACAGCAGTTAGCAGTCAGTAGAGCAAGAAAATCGAAAACCATATTGTTTGTTGGACAATAAGTTATTTTACCCAAGATAAGATATTAGAAATTTGTTGATCAAAGATTCAAAAACTTGTTTTATTAATTTTTAAGCATGATCCATTCATATTTTAGCTTTTTAAATACAATTATTGAATTCTGTATCAAAAAAGCGTTATGAATATTTATTGTCATATTTTTGCCATTGTTATTCCTTTTTTTTATTAAAAAAACCATTTTTTTTAATGTCATAAAAACCAGGTCAATATTAAAATTGCCATATCTTGTCAAGCATTCAATATTTTTGAGCATCAACGCAAATACTAATATTATGTATGCAATTTTCTTTTATAAGTAGGAATCATGTGTCAAAACATGAAACAGAAAAGAAAGCACATAGTTCCATGGGTGATTTGATGTGGATTTACCCTGTGGTACCTACGGACAATTACTTTGTTGTTACAATTTTGGATAGTGTATTTTGATTCATTACTAAAAAAAATACTTCTTTATTCAGAATTTTTAAAATTGCTTTACCAGATTTGTTTTAAACAGTCTGTTAGTTTTGATACTGGTTTTCTGGAAGCATCACATAGTACCATAGCACCACAGTTTACGGTTTATTAGTCTTTTGTTAACTATTTGTCATGATATTTAATTTTTAAGCGCCAGGTTTTTTATGCAATCTGTTTGGCTGAGTAATTCTGATTTTTTTCTGGCGATTTTATATATAGGCTTATTATCAGTGATACTAAATCAAACAAATAGAATCACTTAAAATGTATGATTTGCATATTACTCAGTTTTTATATAATATTTAACTTGGTTGTAATTTAAATTTATTAAGTTGTATGAAAGTTTTTAATGAAATCATTCAGCAAATGTTTAGGGATTTTAAGTATATGAGGAAATAAATATTTGAAGCTTACCAACTTCTCCTATCCTTACCCACAGCTAAATGGGGGAGGGTTTTTATTACTTTTTCCTAGTTAAGTTGCTTTTACCTCAGCCTATACAGCCAATTGCCTTTTTTTATATGTATGAAGATATCTCAAACTAACATTTAGTATCATTTAAAACACTTTAATGGCAGAATTCTAATTTTTATAAGGTAAGCTGTTGATGCTCATGTTTTGATTATATTTTGAGAAAAAAACTTTATTATTATTCAAATTATTACAGTCTATTCAAACTTTTTTAACAATAATATGATCAAAGTGTATTAAATTTATGGCTGAGAGTTTGTTTTAGGTTGTTTATTTTCACTATTTTGTTGTCCCTTCAAGTATCAATGGTTTGTGGTCAAAAATCATTAAAAGACTATAACACCTTTATGGAAGGTATTGATATAGCTGTTATGCTTTGTTTGCTATACAGCACTTCTAGGAAAGGTGGCATCATACTTTTTTTGGACTTGTCGACTGAACTTCAATGCTTATGTTGTTTACAAAAAAATGTCTAACAAAAATATTCTTCTTGACTTTCAAAGTTGCGCAATCCATGGTTATAAAAGGAAAGCTACTAAATCTTGGTAAATCAATGTCATCTCCTTCCAACACACTACAATCAAAACGAAGTCAAGTTATTCAGTTATTATTTCTTAAAAAAAATCTTAGAATTTGATGGCCAGAGCACAATGGAAAACAAGGAAGGTGTTAAGTCATTTTAAAAAAGAAGATTGAAGCCATTTTTCAAGTGTGACACTAAAAAATTTTCTTATATACAAACAATAAAAGAAACTGTTTTGAAGTATTGTATGAGTGGTTGATTTTACCTGGATATTCTAAATAATATACACTTTTTGTTGGTTTAGATAATGCCTGTCATATTCAAAATACTATTGAATTTAAAAAATAAATAAAATTATAAATTATAATTTTCTAAAAATGCATTTAGAACTATTTATGATGTTCTACAAGAACAAGAAATATTAAATTTTATATTACTTTTATTTATTTTTTATAGTATTTTTACGATTTTATTTTTAGCAAAGAAATAAGTTTATTAACTGCTGAATTAAAATCAAAGAAAGAATCACGTGACAACATGATCAATGGTGAAATTAAAACAATATTACTTGAACTTGAACAACTTTATTCAACTAAAATTATAGATGGAAACTGTGATCTGAAGATTGCTCGTCAAAAGTATTTTTTAGAAAAATTAGATGAGGTTTATTGATTAAAATTTTTATGTTTAAATTTAAATGTTTCTTCATTTTATTAGTAAAAAGGGTATAAAAAAGATGTTTAAAAGACTTCATACAAATTTTTTTTTTTGCCAAGATAAAAGCTTTTATATTTATGTGATTTTTTAGTTGACTGTTTATATGATAATGTATTTTATTATTTATATTTTTATTTATATAGTTGTTCATATGGTTTTGTATATGTTTTTTTTTGTTGTTGATTAAATATATATATTGTATTTAAATGGTTATCTATATAATTTTTACATAGTTTTTTATCTATATATTGTTTATAGGTCATTAAACATTTGACACAACAGAGTTCTAGACAGCATTGTCTTTCATTGATGTATGAATTAGAACTTAAAGAACACCGAAATACATATTATCTACTTGCTTCTGTAAAAACTCTTCTTAGTAATGAAATCAAATCAATGGAATCTAGAATTGTATCTTTTAATCAATGAAATCTAGAATTGTATCATTTGATCTGTGGTATCTAAAATTGATCTTTTCCTTTTTAAAATAAAAATAATAAATGTTTACTTTAACTCCTAACAGAAATTGTTAAATGAACCATATTTCAAAGATATACCAAAAAATAATGAAACAATTTTATCTAATGATACATTTGCTAATAGACTCTACGATGCTATAGGTATGATTTTTTTTTAATTTCATCACCATGATATTGTTGATAATTTGTTTTTGTTTTTTTTGTTTTTTTTATTGGTTTTAATTATTATTTTTTTAGTTTACATTATAATTGGTTATTTTCTATATATTTTTTATAGTTATATATTATAGTTGTTAGATTATTTTCTATATATTATAGGTTTTTAAGATTAGGAGCATTATGATCCCCCTAGTACTGGTAACTTGTAATTCAGTTCAATTTTCTACATATCTTCTTGCTTTGCATGCTCTAGGTAAGGGTTAACTCTAGGACTTAACCTTTGCCCAGAAATAAGTTGCACACTTATTTGCACACTTGGTTAAGCATCTCAGGCAGATTATTAACTACATCAGCTACTATATTTTAAAAGGTCTTTTAGGCAAAGACTTTAGGAGTAAGCAAAAAGTTTCTGTTGACCGGCATTGCATTGACCCACTCTATCAAATTTTTTTTATTTTTTTTTTTTTTGTGTTTCTGTTTAGCATCTCTTTACTCAATCAAATTTTTTCATTTTTTTATTTTGTTAATTCATCTCCCCAAGGCCATAAAGGCCACTACTGTCAAGTAAGCTACTTTCAATGTGGTTACAACCCTCTCTCAACTCTATAACTCCAAAATACAAACCTTGAGGAATAAGGGCGCTGCGTGGAGAGGCAAGTTGATTGCTGTACTATGGGACATTGTGGGGATCACACTTCAATCTTTTTGCTTATGAGGCTAGCGATCTATGGTTTTCATTTCACTCTACTCTATAGTTCAAGTCAATTTTCACTCTACCTTATGGTTTTAGTCAAACTTCACTCTGCTCTCTGGCTTAAATCAAACTTCACTCTACCCTATAGCTAAAGTCAAACTTCACTCTACCCTATAGTTTAAGTCAAACTTCATTCTATCCTATGGTTAAAATCAAATTTCACTTTACCCTATGGTTTAAGTCAAACTTAATTCTATCATATGGTTTAAATCAAACTATACTATTCTAAACTAAATCATTCTATACTATGGTTATAAGTCAAACTTTGACTATACCCTATGGTTTAACAAGTGATAGCTAAAAAATGAGAATTTTCATATCCGGCTATAATAAAAATATATTTTAAGAAAATAAAAATTTATATTGGTTTTTCTCCTATTGTTTTTGTAAACTCAAATATCCAAAGAAATCTTCAATTGGGCAACACTAAGCAGTGAAGAACCCAGAGTTTATTTGAGGATACCGGGTTTTTTTCAGCAACGTTGGGGGGATTATGTTTTTGATTTCCCCCTCCCCCTCATTCTCCTCATTCGCCGCAACAATAATTTTTAATCATCATTTTCTTAATAATCAATTATGTTTACCTTTTGTAAACATAATTGATTATTAAGAATAACATAATTGATTATTAAGTTTTCTTAATAATCAATTATGTTTACCTTAATAATCAATTATGTTCAGTTTTATCCTATAATAAGGTGTTGATTTATAGGCATTTTTTGAATACATGAGTTTACTCGTGGACGATGTTACTTAAGCTAAAAGAAAACTATTTTACTTTAGATATTAATAAATGTTTTTCTTGCATATACCACGCTATCAGTAAATAATTATTGAAAATTGTTTAAAGTATTTTAAACAGTTTTTAGCTATATTTTAGTAAATTTAATTTAAAATAATAATTAAAAATATTTTAAACAATTTTTAATCAATATTTACTCTACATAATATATTTACATATATTATATCGCATAATATTTGTAATCATCAAAATAGTTTAATTGTAAAATCAACAAAATAGTATTGTATTTGAATTAAAAACATAAGCATTTAATAAACCAATTCGATAAGCATTTAATGAACGTATTAAATGAACTATTCGAATAAAAACGTAAGCGTTTAATAAAATTAGTTTCTATTATTTAAAATTTTAAATTTTGATTTAAATATTAGTAAATCTGTTTATTAAACTTTTACAAAAGGTTATAATTTTTTAAGTGATTTTAAGGCGCCTTTTAAATTAAAGAGATAATTACAGTAAACCTAATTTTTAAAATATTCTATTATTTTGATTAAAAACCATATTACATTTTTAAAAACATATATTTAAAAAAATATATGTATTTTTAATTATTAAGAATAATTTAAAAAATTAAATTTAAGTAAATAAATTACATTTATTATGGGTTATCTTAAATAGATCTAAATAAAACTTTCGTCAAGTTATTGAAACCTTTTTTTTTATTGTTTGAAAAAAATATTGAAGGGAAAAAAAATCTGTCTGAAAGAGTTTATACTTTGTTTTTTCTTTTTCCATGTAAATCAAAATAGCAAGCTAAAGATCAATAGTTCATTCATTTAAAATAGTTCAAAAGTAGTTCAAAAGAACAATAGTTCATTCATTTAAAAATTAAACTTGTGCCATAGTTATGAGGATAGTTACAAGTTTGCGCAATAGTTACAAGTTATTTTTTACTTTTGTTCATTTATTATAAAAAGCATTTTACTCTTAATTTCTAAAAACAAAAATTAACCTTATGCTGAATGGATATTTAAAAACGCTTCAACTTTCAATAAAGCAAATATTTTATACATTCCATTAATATAAAATTTTGCAACCTGGTTTTAAAATTAAGTTTCGTAACGACTTTCATTTTTTTTTAAAGTTATGTCCAGTTAATAATCGAAGGCAAATTAGATCACGTAGTTATGTAAAAAAGCAATTTCTTTTTAATTCTTTTTATTTTCATGAAGAAAAAATGAGGTAGCTATATTAAACTGAGAATTATTTATGTTTTACTGCATTTAAAACTAAATTTTTTTTACTTTTTTTCATAAAAAAAAACAAAAAAAAAATAAAAATAATTTTTGGGCGCTTTTTTTTTGAGCGCCCATACCAGTGAAACGGTACTAAAACACGTCTGGGTTATTCACAAAACAAACTTGCCTCAGTGAGGCAAGTTTGTTTGATTGCTTTTGTTTGGTGTATATAGGATGTTTTGACTTTCCAAGAAGACTTATGTTTTTTTGGCATAATGAAATGATGCTTTATCCAGCTAAAACATGTAATTGCTATCTGAATGTTTTTGATGAAATGGACTCAATATTTTCTTTAAACATTGATTCTAGTATAATTCTTGGTTAATGGACAAACCGCTTGGCTTGAACCATGGCTAGAAAATTCCCTTCTCAGATATGGCAATGCACAGCATCACTTTTTGCTCAAACTTGTGTTTATATTTGCATTTTACTTTTTGAGTTGTTATAGAATTTTTATCTGCATAATTTCCTGAAATTTACGTTTTGGAGAGGGGAAATAACTTTCGTCATCCAAAACAAAACATTTTCTAGAGTAATTTTTGGTCATCCAGCAGCATTGAGTTTTTACGGTTGATATTTGTTGCTCAGTGTAATTCGGTGCTCTTGTTTTTTTTCTGCAGACTATTCCTTGTTTTTTCAAATATATTTAGACCTTATATTTAGACCTTATATTTTGACTTTATATTTAGACCTTATATTTATATTTAGACCTTATATATAGACCTTATATTTTGCAAATATAAGGTCGTGTACACTTGAACTTATCTGCAGCATCTCATTGACTTATTGAATCCTTTGTTGTTGAAAGTACTTTGAAGCAAACAAAGTCCCTTCTTGTTCATTATTTTAGGTGATTGGTCATAGGAGGTGGTGTTAGAAAGGGATGTATTGTGGGTTTGTTTCACCTAAGATTTAAAAAAAAAATTTATTGTTTGGTTTTGAGCAGCTAATATTTACTTTTTAAATTGATTTTTTATTTAATAGTAAAAATGTAAAAAAGTAGCTTGAAAAGATGGTTGCTTTTTATCATATGACTTATCTTATGCTGGTAAAGCAACATGCAAACTACGAACATTTGGCTTGTTAATCGTTTGGCTTGTTTTTCAACAATAGATGAGCCAAGTCAGTTGCCACCTCCAATTAGTAGTATTGCTTTACATCAAGTTTTTTATTAAATAATAGTCAAAAAACTAACTTTTTTGATATCCTACAACACATTTGCTGATAAAACTATGATTTTCTGGCTCAAGTCCAATATTCCAACTGAAGCAAAAATGTAGTAGGTATATTAAAAAGTATTCACAAGCATGTTGATCTAATACTGATTAAATACTCTGCATGTTCAAGAATAGAAGTATCTGCTCTTTCTAATGAACAAGAAATCACTGCTGAGATGAATACACTTTTTGACATTACCCATGGTGAATCGAATTGTCACTAGAGGATAAATAAAGATAAAATGTTCTTTCAGAAATTTCATCCAAGTATTACTCTTTGGAAGAAAATTCTGACTGTTATAGGTCAATTTAAACACAAAAAGCCTTTACTGATTTAAAACTTTCATAACATTCTACTTTAATTACTAGTCAACTATCAATTACATTATCTAGACATTGAATTCTTGACAATCAGCTCTTAAATGCAGCGTTAGATCAAACAAAAATAATACCACTACAAGCAATATTCATCTCATCAGGCCCTTGCTGCTATTGGTATTATTATAAATAAATTAATCTTTCCATGTAACTCTCAAATGGAAGCTCAAGCTACATCCTGTAAATGTCTTGCAATAGTAATAAAAAAAATATTTGAGTACAGCTTTTTACATTATTTTCAAATTTCTTTGTGATTTATATTAAACTTTTTTTTTTTTAATTTTTAGTTTTAAGATAATTCACTTTATTATGGCTGAGATAGAGGGAGCTGGTAGAAGAACATCATTAAGGGCATATGGACCATTGATACCCACAATTAAAAAAACTGAAGAAATTAAACTATTTTATATTTAGAATAGCTTTTTTAACTTCACCCCACTTCTCACCCCATCTTTGTTTAACTGGGAATAGGTCACTGATATATACTTTCGTACATAGGAAGTGACCAGAGCCCCCGCCTCGGTCCTGATATGGGGTTTTTTACAACCCTGCCCCCAGCTAATCAATAATTCTAGCAGGGGTTATGAGCCCGGGATAGAATTTTTTTTGTATATATAAATATATATATATATATAAATATATATATATATATATATATATATATATATATATATATATATATATATATATATATATATATATGTATATATATATATATATATATATATATATATATATATATATATATATATATATGTTTGTAAATTTATATGTATATACATACAAACATATATATACATATACATATAGATATGAAAATACACATATATATATATATATACATATAATATATATATAAATACATATAACATGTATACATAGATATAACATATATATATATATATATATATATATATATATATATATATATATATATATATATATATATAAATAGATATAACATATATATATATAAATACATATATACACACATATATGTATATAAATATATATATATATAATATATATAGTATGTGTGTATATATATATATATATATATATATATATATATATATATATATATATATATATATATATATATATATATATATATATATATATATATATATATATATATATATATATATATATATATATATATAGTATGTATTGAATTTGTATTATTAGTACCTCCCGGCGACAAAGTAGTTTTATACAAAACTTATCAAGATATAGCTGATCATGCAAAACAAGCAGTGCCACTGGAAAGTTATGATGAACTCAAACAACTAAAGGATTTGTAAGTATAACACACACATATAATCTAACGTGCACAAGTTTAAATAAGTTGCTTAGTTAACAATTGTTTTAACTAATTTTAATTAATTTAAGAACTAAAATATTGATTAAGTTGATAAAATATATCCCAAATACAATATGTTGCACTTTTTCAAATATTATAAAGATTTATAATAACATAGCGCCTAGAAACTCTAGTAGCTCTAAGATCTTTCTAGACATCATCAGATTTTTTTTTTAATAAAGGTTTAGAATAGCTTTAGTCATTAGCTGTATTTACCCTACCATGTTTTTGTGGTTTTATGAGTTATTTACAAGCACTACATTTAGAATTATTTTATTAAGTACACGATTATACAGCTCTTTTTTTTTTGAATTTATTCCATCAAACTATGTTTTTTTGCTGAAATGATACCTCCCTTGAAATTTTTTTATGACCCCTTGTGTAAAAAAAGTTATAAAATATGTGAAATTGCTGAACTCTTACAATCATATATTATACAGTGTTAAATAATTTAAGACAAACAGCATTGAAGAACGTAGAGCACTTTTTGCAAAATAATTACCTGAAAGAAGGAGAACAGGTTTGATTTTTTTATTAAGTTTTTATACAATTAAATTTAAATACCAGCACAAAATGGTTCATATCATTTTTTTTATTTCAGATTTCTTCTTTAACAACCAATATTGAAGAAAATCTCTCACATTCAGAGCTACAAGTTAATGAAATAATAAAAGACATTGTTTATAAAAGAAAGGTCAACTTTTTAGTGTTATTTAAATATAGTCTTTTGAATTTTTGAATCGTTTATTATTGAATTATTTCATAAAAATCGTTAATTCTTATAATTATTTACAAAAAAAATTTCAGATTTAAAATAGTACGTTAGTGCAAGTTAAATTTTACCGATTCTGTTTCAAATTTGTATAAGATTTTCACCATTTTACTTAAATTTAAATTTAACCTAATTCTGTGTATAGTGTAGTTTGAATAGAGATTTTTTCATTGAGTTTTTGATTTTGAAATTATTTATCTTCTTAAATATACCCGCCAGATATTTCCTAATGTACCCATTAAATTTCCTGTATCCATATGGTCCTCATGTACAAGTTTTAAACTTTAATATAAAAAAAAAATTCTTCAAGTATAATATTCTTAGTAGTTGTCTTTATTATTATTTTTGTTTTTATTATTATTTTTATTATTTTCTTATTACTAATATTAATATTGTTTTGTTTGGTGTCATTCCTTTGATTGGACACCAATTTTTTTTACCACTTTTTATACCATAATTATTTAAATCTCTAGTTTTTTTATTTATGTTGTAATATTGAGGAATATAAATAACTTGGCTGATTTGTAAGTTTTTATTGATATGGTTGTTGATGTATATAAGCGATGTTGTTGAGGAAGGCGGCGTGAAATTTCTTATTGAAAGCTCTTCCGCGATAACTGTGGTAAAACAGGTTTTCGTCGAGTACCTTAATAACTAGAAAAAAAGTTTTTAAAAAAAAAAACTTTTTAGAACATGCATATATATATATATATATATATATATATATATATATATATATATATATATATATATATATATATATATATATATATATATATATATATATATATATATATATATATATATATATATATATATATATATATAAAATAGGGTTATGACTTTTTGACTTTTTCAAAAAAAGCAAATTTCCTGTGTCAGATCGATGAACTTTTATTAGAAAACATTGAAAACATGTTCAATTGCTCTCGGTTGCAAAAAAAGTTCACCCCACAATTCAAATTACGTTTCGTCATTTATTTGATCTTGTTACTGCTACTACTAATACGTGTGGCTTTCCTGCAAATCATTTAAAACTTGTATATATTAGAAGTGTTTAGAACTTTAAAATATTTTGGAAAATAACAGAATATTTTAGAAGAACATATTAGAACAATTTAAAACATTCTGGAACAATTTAGAACATTCTAGAACAATTTAAAATATTTTGGAACATTCTAGAACAATATAGAACATTCTGGAGTATTCTAGAATATTTTAGACTATATATAGCTGCTCATCTAATTTTATAGTTATTGCAGAAGCAACACATGGCGTTTTCCTTCTGAGAATAACTATAAAATAATGAGCTCTGAGAGTACAAGAATGTTTGGACCAATAATCTGGTAAAATTTTGACGCTATTTATTGGACGCTATCATTTCCTTGGACCAAATATCAAATAAAGAAAGGAGCGGAAATTCCTTTCTTTATTTGATATTTGGTCCAAGGAAATGATAGCGTCCAATAAATAGCGTCAAAATTTTACCAGATTATTGGTCCAAACATTCTTGTACTCTCAGAGCTCATTATTTTATAGTTATTCTCAGAAGCAAAACGCCATGTGTTGCTTCTGCAATAACTATAAAATTAGATGAGCAGCTATATATAGTCTAAAATATTCTAGAATACTCCAGAATGTTCTATATTGTTCTAGAATGTTCCAAAATATTTTAAATTTTTCTAGAATGTTCTAAATTGTTCCAGAATGTTTTAAATTGTTCTAATATGTTCTTCTAAAATATTCTGTTATTTTCCAAAATATTTTAAAGTTCTAAACACTTCTAATATATACAAGTTTTAAATGATTTGCAGGAAAGCCACACGTATTAGTAGTAGCAGTAACAAGATTAAATAAATGACGAAACGTAATTTGAATTGTGGGGTGAACTTTTTTTGCAACCGAGAGCAATTGAATAAAAAAAATAGTGGAAATTCCCAAAGAAGTCACCAAATTGTGGAAGAATAAACTGAATTTTCTATATGTATCTAATTAAGTTATACGAGCAAAGCTTGATAAAATACTGAAATGCTATGATGAATGTGTCAAACGGGGAATCTACGAACCCCTTGATGAGATTTATGATATTACTAAAGTGGATGGAACATGGTTAACTTCCGAGAGCAAGCGATTGTACCATCTCCAAGTGGAAATCAAAGGAACAGTGGGATACTCAACAGGCCAAGCGGCCAGTAAAAAAACGATCCATCCCTTTAAAAGACAAAAACTTTCTAATGAATCATCCAACTCATCATCTTAGTCTCATCATCAGTTTTTGTTTCATCTCACTCGAGTGTTCCAATTTTTTGAGGAAAAGAGACATTTTCCATTGATCAAGTTTCAGAAAATACCCAACATCAGCAATGCGAGGTGGTACTCCAGAGCTATGCTAACGGTCCTGGCCTTCAATTTAATTCCTTCATCATGAACAGCTGTAGAATGTCGATTTATATCGTATGGCTGGGTAAACCATTGGTTTACAGACCAACTGTAGAACGAAAACATCTTTAATAACTTGGCTGAAATACTGAATCCATAAAAAAAGGTTTTAACCTCTTTGAAAAATCATTGGAAGCAAGAGCCATCCATACTACAGATACCCAGAAGTAATCAATGCGCAGAGCGCGCAATCAAAGTAATGGAGGAAATTTATTCATCATGTAAAAATAAAGACAAATTGCACCTTCGATTCCTTCTGTGTAACAAGCAAGAGCAAGGTCAACGGTGACTATTACATTCTAAATACATTTGAATACATAGTAGTATTTATGTCAAAATCGATTTTTCAATGGCAGGGTGAACTTTTTTGAAAAGATATGCAAATATTAGTTTATTTCGTAATTTTTAAGTAAAAGTTCATTAAACTACAGTACAGGAGAATGGGGTTGATAAAAAGTCATAACCCTAATATGTATGTATATGCATGTATTTAAACATGATGCTACTATATTTTTATGTTTACACCAAAACTTAAAAGCTTATTTTCATAGTTTTTTTTTTTTTTTTTAGATTCTTTCGATGGATCCGTATAAAAATATGGAAAGAGATTTGTTTCCATACTTCTTTAATAATCCAGCCTTACTAAAGCAATGCTTTAATGAAGTGAATTTGTCGGAAAATTCTTTAATATAATTAAAATTTCTAAAAAAGTGATGTCTCATTAAATTTTGTTTTTTCTGAGACTTTGTTTTGTTTATTCGAAAACATTTTTCCATTATAAAAAATGATTTCCTCTGTACCTGCTTTCATCAGTCAACCTTAATTCTTAACTTATTTTACATTTTAAATTAAAAAAAATTGAGACGCTGCAAATAAAAGCAAAACCGGGGGTTATTGTATTGTTGACACGTATGTATGAAAATCAACACATGTATTTTATTTAAATTAACTCCATCAGAGCTCTGCTTTTGCCGTAATGGTGATTGGTACACAAAGAATATTTAATGAATCAATTTCACAAAATAAACATGTAATTCATTATGTCGATGGCAATTATAAAAGCTATTATTAAGTTGATGTGCGTTGGACAAAACACGCTTCAACTTACATACGCACGAAAATAGTTTCAAACTTGAAAAAAAACTGTCAAAAGACTTAAAGTAAATACAAATTAACAAATGTTATAACTGACCTACTAAAAAACTAGGGTGAACAAAAATATCTGGATAACCGGACCGGATATCCGATCTGGTTGTTATAAATTCGATTTCGCATCGAGTTTTTCTTACTTATTTAAAAAGTAATAACTTAATAGGTATTGTTGAAGAGAGGATTTTTATCTATTGGCTTTTGGCAAGCTTGTTTGTAGAGATTTAAATTTTTATAATCTTAACAGAATTAAACGTTCATAAACAAAAAATGATAACTTTAAAGAAATTAATGAGTTATTTAAATATTTTTTTTGTTTGCCTTTTTTTATTACGTTTTTATTATAAATTTTTTTTTTTGTTTTTTTTGTGTGTGTGTTTATATTTATTTTATCGTTAATAATATCATAACAAAATCTCTTATCATTAAATATTTTTATTCTTCTTTCCTTTAAAAGCAAATGCTTGTATTTATAAATATATCTAAGAATTTATTTAATTAAATATTTATCTTTATTATAATTATAGAATATATGATATTAAATATTGTTTGTGCTAATGTGGGTGGGGGTATTTTTCATTCATGTGCTCTTTGGAGAATGGTACATCTAGTGGTATAACTAATTTCAATTAAAAAACAGCTAAAATAAAGCATCATAATCACCCATAAATCAAGTACACTTTCTCCCCAATGTGTTTTAAAAAATGGCTTGGGTAGATGCATTCTTTGATGTTTCAGATTCAAAAAATTTTCGATTTTGCTCCACGTCTGGAATCTTAAACATCAAATATTGCTGCATCCGCCCCTGTTACATTGGCTGTGAAAATATACGTTTAAGTTTCAACTTATATTAAACAAGATATTGAAGCGAAAGGCAAGAAATAAATGCCAAAAATAAATGAACATTTTTAAAACGTTGACGCCAAATGAACTTATGAAGATAAAATGCGAATGGACCTCTTTGCAGTTATGTTCTGAAAATGTCTTTTTTACGACTTAGGAATATTGTTTATATGTATTTTTAATTAATTTAAAATTAATTTAGTAAGTAATAGGTTAATAATTAAATAAAAGTTTACAAATATTGATTGCGTTTAAAAAATGTTTTAAGAATTTATTTTATTATTCTTAAGATAAACGAACTTTTTACTTTTATAAAACCTTCGTCGCAAATTTTTATGTGTATCTCTGCTTAAGTTTATTTTATTTTATATATATTTGCTAAACTAAAGTTGCTTTAAGGTTGAGACTTACTAACCTAAGGTTGCCTTAAGGTTGAGACTTAATAACCTAAGGTTGCCTTGAGGTTGAGAAATGTGCTTTAATAAAAATAGCTATCTTGGGTAGATATAAACTGTATCGAGCTATTGTCTTGTAAAAAATCTAGAAAAATAGTTAAGGAGTATGCAAAAAGTTTCTGCTGACCCCGCATTCCTTTACCTAATAGGGTGAGGCAAATGTACTCATGTTGCATCTTGTACGCATGGGATTTCGCTTGTGCTTTCTTAATAATGGTTATGTAAATCATTTTGTTACTTTTTTACGAGAGTACATTCTAATAACTTTATTATTATTACTGAGGTACTTATTGTTCTATTTCTAAGATTGATTTTGGGGTGTCATAGATCTTTTGATATTGTTTTCGATCAAGTTGACATGCTCTTTGTTTTATTGGTTTGAAAATATTATTGTTATTGGTAAGGGGTCGTCCATAAATTAAGTCACGCACTAAGGAGAGGGGGCTAATAGTTTAGTGACGACTCATACAGGACTTGTTACTAAAGTGTTACAATTTTGTGACGAGGCAGAGGGAGCAAAAACGGTCAAAAATTGCGTGACTTAATTTAGGGACGATCCCTAACTTTTAGCTAGGCTTGTTAAAAATAATCGACTGGCACTTGAAATTTCAAGTCAATTGAGATTTAAACTCAGCAAAAAAATGACATTTTTTGACGTTTTTTCTTCAACTTTTTAACTGAATTTCATCGGAAAGACGTCATGTGTTTGCTGGGTACTTTATACCGTATTATTTTCTTTCTTTCATGGCTTCTAATTCTACTCCTAATTATTTCGTTAATCTTTTTTTCATCAGATCACTGTTTTCAAAACAAACGTCTTTTTCTTATTGCAAAAAATAAGAAATATAAGTTAATATAAGAACTTATTTCTTATATTAACATGATGTTATTACTTCTTCCAAGAATAAAGTAGAATTATTTACAAAAAACTTTTTAAGTTATAGTTTTCTGTAATCTTTTAAATTTTATGACCATACATTTTAGACTGCTCTTGATTTTCATCAAATCAATACCAAACTTTTATCGAAAGTAATTTAACTATTTCCGGTAAATATTTCAATATTTTTATGACATTGAGTGAAATATATTTTGCTGTAAAATCATTTATCAAAGACCTCTTTCGTGTGACAACCAATCCCACACACGGGGTTGGTTGTCACATACAATGGGGTTGGTTGTCACATTTCTTGGTACGTTTTGATTAAATTTAAAACTAATAACAATAAATTTTGTTTATATAATACAAAGAATAAATCTAAATCTGTTCTCTTGATCTGCTGTTAGCAAATGATTCACAACAATAGATTCATAGACATTCTTTATCTTTAGATGAATTTATGACTGTAGAAGGTTTTTTTGGGAAAAATTTGAATTTATTAATTCTTTTTTACTTCCATTAATAGATAAATTACGATTCTTATTAATATTTCCTTTTTTAGTTTTTTTATAATTAGCAAGCCATGCTTTGACAGGTGAGTAAATAAGAATCATAGATAAATATACTTTTACTCGCACTTAGTATAATTGAACTTTATAAAACTAAACTTTTAAAACTTAAGGCAATTATGACAACCATCCCTACATATTATGTGACAAGCAACCCGATTTATGTAAGTTGCAAGACACCTGTAAATTTTCCTAAAAGTGTGTGAATTTCATGATACTTTTTTGTGGAATAAGTTACTCAAATGAAAAAAAAACTTTATAAATGCACATTCAAAGCACAGTAAAATAATTTTTGTTTAATAAAAAAAAAATTTTAAGTGAGCGATTTTAACTTTTTCATAGCAAAAACCTATAAAAAGAATAATATTTTTTTCTTCATGCTAAAAAAGCTGAAAATTACAGTGAAAATGTTTTTTTTTTTACATAACATTTCCACTGTATGATTTTAAAGTCCTAAACCTTTTCTACAATTCCTGTAGTAAACGTTGTGACAACCAAGCCCGTGCGACAAACAACCCCGCTCTCCCCTACACCACATATTAAAAACCTAATCCGAGCATTAAAATCCGCTTTTCATGTCAAATGCTCTAGTAAATGGAAGAGTGATTTCACCGTTCAGTAAAAGCTGAAATATTTAAAGCAAAAAAACACATAAAAAAGAAATAATCTAAAATTCCATGATTAACCTAAAATTCGTCTACAAATATATATTAACAAACAACTAAAAATTAAAAATAGACTTTGTTCTCTCAAAGATAATTAAGGCAGAATTATTTGCTTTTCCTGTTAATCTGTTATAGTTAATCTTCTAAACTCAAAGTTTAAATCTATGTTTACAATTGAAATATTTTCCATCGCTAAATAAAAGTGATATTAAATCTGAATTCATTTATAATAAAAACTTGATTTTCTCTATTTATTATTTTGAAATGGCTTGATATTTTGAAATATCAAGATATTTCAAAATATCAAGCCATTAGTAAAACAAACACGAACAGTGCGTCTTTATTCAGATGCTTAGGTATGAAGTTTAAATATCAGTTCTTATAAATACAAAAAATATTATGACAAAATTACGTAATGAATCAAGTCTGGTCATTGGATAGGTGACCTAACTAACAGTACGAATTGCACCTTGAAACATCGTGTGCAATCCTGTCCGCTTTCTCTATGTTACCTTTCTAACTCGACTACTTCTTTCTTTCGCTCTAACATACCTCCATTCTTTCCAAACTCACCTTACTCTCGGTCCGTAGAACGAGCTATGACACTCCTTTAGGAGCTTAACTAGTCTTTGCGGGCCTTGGTAATGTGGCCTCTATATGGCAACTAGCCGGAGGAAGGTAAACCACAATACCAGTATAAAAAACATTATCAGCAATATTGATTTATCAAAGTGGGTGAAAGATTTATGTATAAGCACATATATGCAATTATATATGCGTATAAACATGTAATATGTAATGTGTATATGTATACTAAAATATAAAACAAATAAATTTAATTCCGACAAAAGTTTAATATAACGTTATGCAAACGTAAAATATAACGTTGAATCAACTTAAAATACAACGCTTTTGCCCACGTAAAATACTATGTTGAATTAACGTAAAATGTTACGTAAGACCGACTTAAAATACAACGTTAGGCCAACGTTGTTTTTCGATTGTTGGCAACGTCGCATTTGTAACCAAAATTATATAAAAACAACGTTTGCGGTCGATGTTGGGCCAATGCAACGGGTTATTCTAACGTTTTATCAACGTATGTGTGCTTTAAACTGAAGTGTTAACAGAATTTTCTATTTTTACAGATTTAAAATTTTTTCTATTA